TCCGCTCCATGTTCCCTCCATGACTTGAGTACAGGGGTGGGTGAGGTACTGGATGAGGGAGCTCCCAGCCAGGCTGTTAGTGCAGCCAGGGTCGAGTCTGTGTGCCAGCCCCCTCCAGCCGCTGCAAGTCCTCGGGGAAAAGCAGCCTTGAGGATGGTGACTAAGGTGTTGTTTCAGTGCAGAGGGGAGGTGGGACTGTAGCAGCCTCAAGGAGAGGGAAGGAGGGAGGGAGGGAGCGGGGAGGATATGGACAGGCCATGTGGCAGGCCCCAGGCCCCAGCTCCCATACTTCTTTGGTTTGGATCTTGAAGGAGCCAAGGTGCCCTTCCCTCGATTGTTTGCCCACATCCTGGGAGTCCCAGACCCCAGGCGGGAGGGGAGGGCAGGGCCGGGAGGCATGTCCTGCCCCCGTGGCGGGAGCGCGTGGAGGGCACTGCTTGCCAATGGCATGCGCAGGCCCCAGCTGCTCTCAGCCAGGAGAGCATCCCTGCAGGCATGAACCCTGGGAGTCACGCTGTCACCGAAGCGTGGGGTAGGCGTTTGGTGCAGCAGTTAAGACCTCGCCCGAAAGGCCCGAAAGGCCCGCGTCCCTTATCCGAGTGCCTAGATTCCAGTCCTGGCTCCATGTCCAGTTCCAGCTTCCTGCTAATGTATACCATGGGAGGCAGCACGTGATGCTCAGGTGCTCGGACCCTGTCATCCACATGGGAGACCTGGGTGGAGTTCTGGGCTCCTGGCTTCGACCTGGCCCAGCCCCAGCTGTTGCAGGGCATTTGGGAAATGAACCAGTGAATGGAAGATTTTCTCTGTGTGTCTTTATGCCTTTCCCGTAAAATGAAAATAAATTTAAAAAATTTTTAAATTCAAATGAACTTTGCCTTCTCCTGTACAAGTGCTCCTGTGTGATAAAGAATGTGTCCTGCGCCTTTCTGGGAAAGCGGACAGACACACGGCCTGGGCACAGGTGGCTTTGATGTCCCCGTCCCCGCAGAGCCGTGTCCTCAGCCCATGAACGGCTCAGAGCAGGGTGTGCCTGTCTCTCCCAGAGCCTCTGTGCTGGCTCTGCCGCCCTTTTCTCTAACCAGGTCCTCAAGGTTCTTGTCTCTCACGTCCTGTGGGCAGCCTCGGAACAGCAGACCGCGGGACTTGGAATGCGCACGGAAGGGTGCCCACAGGCGCCAGCGCCAGGCGTTGCTCTGCCCTCAGTCCCGCACCTTCCTGGGCCCAGTCCCTCACCTGCAGTGGCAGGCCCCGTCTAGCATGTGGGGACAGTCCTCATCACATGCATGGAGAGCAGTGGCAGCGCGTCCTCCTGCACACACTGGGGCTGCCTTAGAGCCCAGAAAGTGCTGTGAGCCCAGAGACCAGCACCCTTCACCATGTGCAGGGCCCTGGCCCTGCCACTAATGGGGACCCCACCCCACGTGGTGACTCAACTCACACCGTTCTGTTTCACTCTCGTCCGGGACCAATAGTGTCCCTGCACGAGGTACCCAGTGCTGCTCACAGAAAGCCCCCCTGCCCAGCCTGTCCAGGTAAGGGAGCTTTGCCGCTTGGCTCAGAAGGGACTGACAGGGTGGTGGTCCATCTGTACTTCCCCCACCCCGTCCCGCCCCTGCGGGGGCGGCCACCTGCTGAGCCCACCTGATTGCTTCCTTTTCTGGCTTGCAGAGGCTCATCTGCCTTCCTCAGGCCTCCCTGCTCCTGCCTTTGGTCTGTGGGACTGGGTCACATTAGGCCCTGCCGTGCCTTGCAGTTTTCCTTTTGGTTAAATATGATGTGTTTCTATTTTTAAATCAAAGAGTCCAAAGACCCAGCCTTTGGAAACATGGAAATCCTTCCAATAGGGATGCGAGAATCCACAAATAGTTGTGAACTCAGAGTTCAGTGTTTTCTTGAAAGTCAGCCAGAAGTCCATATTCCCACTTGGATCAAGAGCCGCGTCCCAGGAATACTGGGCAGAAGTGCATAAATCCTCAGACACACGGCCAGCATCCCGGTGCAGTGGCTTAAGCTGCTGCTCGCAACTGTGACATCCTACCCTGGAGCACTGGTTCCAGTCCCTGCTGTTCTTCTGACCCAGCTCCCTGCTAATGCTCCAGGGAAGGCGGCAGAGGATGGTCAAGTACTTGAGCCCCCGCCACGCATGTGGGAGACCCAAGTGGAGTTGCTAGATCCTGGCTTCACCCTGGCCCAGTCCTGCTGCTGCAGCCATTTGAGATGAACCAGGGGATGAAAGATTGCTCCCTCTCCATTGTCCTAGCCCTTTAAAAACAAACAAACAAAAGATTTATTTATTTATTTGAAATAGTTATGGAGAGGGAGAGGCGCAGAGATCTTCCATCCACTGGTTCACTCCCCAAATGGCCACAACAGCCAGAGCTGGGCCAGTCTGAAGCCAAGAGCCAGGAGCTTCCTCTGGATCCTACACACGTAGGCACAGAGGCCCAAGGACTTGGGCTATCTTCTGCTTTCCTAGGCCATAGCAGAGAACTAGATTGGAAGTGGAGCAGCCAGGACTTGAACTGGCACCCATATGGGATGCTGGCGCTACAGGTAGTGGCTTTACCTGCTGTGCCACAGCACCAACCCCCCAGCCCTTTTTTTTTTTTTTTTTTGAAAGAGTTACGGAGAAAGAGGGACAGAAAGAGAGATCTTCCAGCTATGGGTTCATTCCCCAATGATGGGGCTGGGCCAGGCCAAAGCCAGGCACTTCATCTGGATCTCCCACATGAGTGGCAGGGGCCCAAGCACTTGGACCATCTTCTGCTTTCCCAAGGGCATCAGTAGGGAGCTGGATCAGAAGTGGAGTAGCTGGGACTTGAACCTGCATTCATATGGTATGCCAGCATTGCAGGCAGCAGCCCAACCCACTGTACCACAATGCCAGCCCCCACTCTGGCCTTTCAAATAAATAAATCTTTTAAAATATAAAGATTCCAGCCTCTTTCCATCATCTTTAAAAAAAAAAAAAAAAGACAAAGCTGTCCTATGGAGTTCTTCTTAGGCTATCAAGCCTCAGTCTGGAGGCTTAAAAAAGTTTTAAGTCAGCATTATTGAAACTTAACAGACGTACACACTGTGTAATGCACCCATTTCAGGTGCATAGCTCAGTGCGTTTTGACAAGTGTGTGTGTGTGTGTGTGTGTGTGTGTGTGTGTAACCACGGCCACCACAGTCATGATACAGAATAGTTCTGTTTCCCCAGGAAGTTGCCCCCCCCAACCCCCAGCCTCTTTGTAGTCAGTGCCGGGTCTCAGACAACCACAGAGGTCAAAGCTGTGCTTCCTCCACTGCCTGGGCCATAGCAGCACTCAGCTGTTAAGGTGGGTCTGCCTCTGGCCACCCAGACCCTCACGGTGCCAGGCTGCTCCCAGGACCTGTGCTCCTCCCACCCTTTGCTGAAGGCAGAGCTGAAAGTGGCCTGTCCTTCAGCTGTCCCCGGGAGCTCAGGCACCAGTGGGTGCAGCTGGGGGGGTTCTGGAACTCTTCAGGTGCTGAGGCCACGAGGCCTTGTGCTGGCAGCTTACAGATGACTGCAGAGAGGGCCTTGTGCTTAGCTGGAACCATGGCGCAAGGGGCGCCAGTGACCTTGAGCAGCTGCCACGCGTATTTCACTTGGGCTCACCGAGCTATAAGCATTGAGTGTCTTGGATGTTGCCCCAAGTATAGCAGTACATGACAGCTGTCCCATTCCCTCAATTATTTTGTTGAAAAATTGAGCATATATGACAATAATTACTGGTGTTATACTCTACCTGCTACCTAATTCAGTAGCTGATACATTTTGTCACATCTGCTTTATAATTTATAAGTAGTTACAACCTAGCGTTGTAAACATCACAGTGTTTCTCTCCGGGAGGTGTCAGTGTGCATCCCCTAAGACTTTGTCGCGTGTTGCCACCAAGCCACGCCAGAGCCAAGAAAATGAACCTCAGCTTTGTACTGTCATCTGCTGCCCGGGGCTTATTTAAAGCTCCCCAAGTCCGGCTGCAGGTTTGCGTTTTCCCGTGGGGATCTGCTTATCACATACAGCCTCAGGCCTCCTGTCTGTCTTCGTCTTCTTTTGTATTTTTAACGGTGTTGGCTGTTGGAAGAAACTAGGCCGTGGGTCTTGTGGTCTCGTTTGTCCGCCGCCATGTGCCCTGTACCTCACTCCTGTGTGCTGCTTGGCATCAGCAGGCTCACGAGAAGCTAGGTCTGAGGGCGCGAGTGGGTCCTGGCCCAGCATTGCAGGCGGGAGCTTCCAGGGGCTTCAGGCAGTTCCCACCCAGTTCAGCCGGGTGGAAGTCTGGGCCTGACAGCCAGGGAACAGTGCCCAGCAGGTCTGTGGTGGGCAGGCTCAGTGAGCCCTGGGCAGCCGAGGGGTGCCGTCCCGGGCCTTGCACCTGCTCCCCGGCAGCTTTGGCTAGTTCCTGCTTGACGTCAGTTCTCTCAGTGGACCCCAAATGGTGACTTCTCCTTCTGTTATTACTTCTACCTTAAAAAAATAACTTTCTCACTGAGCTACACGTTTCTCTCCCTCCTTCCAAAACAAAGGAGGCTGCTCCAGCGGCACCCAGAGGGTGGGGAGTGGCAGAGCTCCCATCTGCTTTAGGCGGCCATCGAGTCCAGGATTGGGACATGGTAGTAGCCTGGGGCCTTGGGCTTTCTCCAGCAAAGGACCTGCTGTCGTGAGACTTGAGACCTGCCAGAGAGGAGCTGGGACAGCTGTGGGGCGGTCAAGGGAGAGAGGAGAGAAACAGATCAGGCAGGCTTCCCTGGGCTGGGTCCAGCCACGAGGGGAGCCTGGGTCCTCACTCAGCCCTTCCTGAGCACCCGCAAAGCAAGAGCGACCTTGAGCCCTGGAATTGGGGAATGCTGTGAGGGGAGCAAGCCACCTCATACCTAAGGAGACACCCATGACGGTGCTGCTTGCTCCCCTCTCTCGCCTGCACCCCTCACCACCTGGGACAGTGTAAGGAGGGGCTGCGAGGTGACGCTGCCTGTTCTCTCGGCAGGTGTGAATGACAGAGGTGGTGCCATCCAGCGCCCTCAGCGAGGTCAGCCTGCGCCTCCTCTGCCACGATGACATAGACACCGTGAAGCACCTGTGCGGCGACTGGTTCCCCATCGAGTAAGTGGGGCAGCACCTGCACCGCCAGCTGCAGGTTGCATGGGTGGCGGCAGAACGTGGGGTCTCCAGATGCTGGAGTGGAAGAGGGCCTCATGACCCTTGGGGCCACATGGCCTCTCTACAGAGGGAAGATGGGCCTGGAGGGGCCAGGTAGGCCAGAGATGCCCTCTGGAGCGTGTCTGCTCTGGGCCTCTTCCCACGACCCCTGTTGCTCATGTGAAGGGCTCCCACAAGGCTCTGGTGAGACCTGAGTCAGGGTGAGGAGTTGGTTACATACCAGATGTTAGGGTACACTCATGCAAAACTGCAGTGTTACTTAGGAGAGAAAGATCTCTGGAAGAGTCAGGTTTGTTGGCAGGGACAGTTCTTTACCAGGTATTAAGTGAAAGCAAGGTACACACACAGTCACATTCTGGAGGCCCTCCCCCCCCTTTTAAGATTTTATTTATCCACTTGAAAGTCAGAGGTACGAAGAGGCAGAGGCAGAGAGACAGAGAGACAGAGACAGAGAGAGAGGGAGAGGTCTTCCACTTGCTGGTTCACTCCCTAAATGGCCGCAACAGCCAGAGCTGGGCCTATCTGAAGCCAGGAGTCAGGAGCTTTCTCCAGGTTTCCCACGGGGTGCAGGGGCCCAAGGACTTGGGCCATCTTCCACTGCTTTCCCAGGCCATAACAGAGAACTGGATCAGAAGTGGAGCAGCTGGGACTCAGACTGGTGCCCATATAGGATGCTGGTACTGCAGGCAGCAGCTTTAGCCGCTATACCATAGTGTCACCGCCCCTCCCCCAGCCCCTCATTTTTATTTAAAAACATATGTAGGGTAAAAGTTTCCAAGAGTCTGTGCTTTAGATGAGGAGGGGATGAACTTTTTTTGCCATCCATCATACAGGTCACAGCCAACACCCCTAAAACTAAAGATGGGTGGATGAGAAAAGCCTCATACATTTATTTGATCATAGTTTTATATGACATGTGCAGCTTCAGATCAGAGTCAAAGATCCAGAGTCTTTCCTATTGCTTTTCAAGATTTATCTGTATATGTGTGTATATTTGTGTGTGAGAGAGAGAAAAAGAGAAAGAGACGGGGACGGGGGGCAGGGGGAGAGAGCTAGCAAGCTTCTATCCACTGATTCACTCTCCAAATGGCCACAACAACCAGGGCTGGGCCAGGCTGAATCTAGAGGCCTAGAACTCAGTCTGCATGTCTCACATGGGTGACAGGGACCCAAGCACTTGGGCCATCATCCCCTATTGTCCCAGGCACATTAACAGGAGCTGGATTGGAAGTGGAACAGCCAGAAGTTGAACCAGCGCTCTGATATAGACTGCCAGCATCTCAGGCTTAACCCACTGCCCCACAGTGCGCCCCGGAGCATCCAGTGTTATGTGTAGGTTCTGAGAAGTATGGACAGCTGCACAGGACTGAAGACAGGAAGTTGTGATTGAATGGTCCCCGCTTGAGGGCGCCCAGCAGGCACTGTTCAGACTTGTCTGGGCCTCCCTGTGCAGCCTCTCTGTACAGTATTCTATCTTCCCAGGAGTGAGGCAGGGCCCATTCTGAAGTGGGGAGGGGGAGGGAAGTCCTATGACTTACAGTCAAACAAGGTAGACCAGAGCTTTCAGGGATGCCTGTTGGACGCAGCGGTTAAGACAGCACTTGGGACTCCCACGTCCCGTAGGCTGAGCGCCTGGCTTTGAGTCCTGGCTCCACTCCTGATTCCAGCTTCCTGCTAAGATGCACCCTGGGAGGCAGCCGGTGATGGCCCAAGTACTTGGGTCTCTGGGAGACCTGGATGGAGTTTCTGGCTCCTGGCTTCAGCCTGGCATAGCACTGGCTTTTGTGTGTTGTGTACACACACACACACACACACACACACAGAGCTTTCATCTGCTGGTTCATTCTCCCAGTGGTGATAACAGCTGGGCCCGAGGCATCAGGCTCCCTGGAAAGAGGAGTAACTGATGACTTGGAGTGGCGAGATGGGAGTGCCATGTCCCGGCCGCAAGGCCAGCTGGGCACTCTGGGTCAGAGCAGGACCGGGGAGGCCTCAGATGCTGTTTAGGCCCTACAGGGTGAGATTGCCGTGGGGTCAGCGGCGTTGGCAGGGCTGAGCAAAGCAGCTCTCTGCTGCAGCCCCACTCCAGCTCTTGATCAGAAGAAAGGCATCCAGGCCAACCTGTTCGGTCTCTTCCAAGTTTCAGAGACAAAACCCACACCTGTAAAACCGAGCGCCTATGCTTTCCTGCCCTCGTCTCCCAATGGGGGCTGGGACCAGATCTGCTTAATGACTGGTCCTCTGCTCTTCTCCTTGCTGCCCTCGGAGCAGGCTTGGCCTCTTTCTGGTGGGCAGCCCCCAGAAGCACGGCCACACTTTACCCTTGAGGCCAGGCTCCCCCACCTCCATCCAGGGGCATCCTAAACTTGGATGCCACTTAGCCGTGGACTTGGCTCTTCCTCACGTGGCTCTTCTTGTTTTCAGTGCCAGAAAGTCATCTGTAGAATTCTTAGAGGCAGCCTCCCAGGTGTCCAGGTCCTGGGAGCTCGAGTCGCCCAGCTGAGGAGCAGGCCTCCCTGGCTCCCTCTGAGAGCAGCTACAGAGAGTTTCATGGGTGGCTTTCCCTCTTGTGTCTCATGTTTGGTCAGTCATTTTTCCCATCAGAAATTCCCAGTCCTGTCTGGGCAGATGGCTCCTTGAAGAACCGTGACAGTTACATAGAGGGGCTAAGTGCTGGGTACTCTCCCCCCAGCCTTAGAGCAGAGGGCACCAGTGGCCAGGGTCCCCTGTGCTTCCAGAGCCCGCAGTGTGGTGGCAGTTGGTCTTGACCCGGGGCAGGTCCACTGACCATGTCCTCTTCCTCAGGTACCCAGACTCATGGTATCGTGACATCACGTCCAACAAGAAGTTCTTCTCCCTTGCTGCCACCTACAGAGGCGCCATCGTGGGAATGATAGTCGCTGAAATTAAAAGCAGAACCAAAATACACAAAGAGGTAGGTCTGTGCAGTAGTGACTTGGCTGTCGCTGGGCAGTGTGGACACTGGGCCGTGGGTGCGGGCTCTAGAGACCGCCTGTGCTGGGGCCCGGCGTCTCGTGCCTGTGACCCTAGGAATCTGGTCTAGGGAGGGGGACTCATCCCCAGCTGGCTTCTTTGACAGACACGCCCTTACTGTCTGTCAAGGGGCAGGGTCCAGGCCTCGCGTCTTGTTTTGTCAGGGGTGAGCCCGCGGGGCAGTCGGCAGGTGACACACAGACGTCCAGCTTGTGTTGGTGGCGAGGTCGTAGCAACTGAGGGAAATGGTAGCTTTCAGTCAGAAGTTAGTGAGAAGAGAGGGACAGTTTCTTCGTGTGCAGCTTCCTGTAAGGTCTGAGAACGCCGCAGGACGTGAGGGCGGCCCCCCCACCTTCGCCACCTACACAGAGTCCAGCTGGGAAGTGCGAGGCTGTGACGTTGGTCAGGATGGGTCTCGGCCACTGAGAGGTGTTCACTGCAGGGCGGGGGGTGCAGCCTGCCAGCAGCTGCTCGAGGTTCTGTCTGAAGGTTCCAGAAGCGGCCTCTCCCCTTCTGAAGGACCCAGCCCCACTAACATCCACCCGTTTGCCACCATTAAGCCCTGGCACAGTTGGTTTCTTTTAAGAGGAATTTTGCTATCCCAGCTTCCTCCGGGGCTTTGACCTTCCACTGCTTGCTGGTAGGGTACAGCAGAGAGGAGGCCAGTGGTGGCCCTCAGGGGCAGTCCCCGAGCTCCCGCGCGTGCTGGCAGGATCTCCGTGCTCCTCCTGCACGGCTCCTGTGCTGGCTTTCTCTGCTGTAGACACGGCGACCCTTACTGTCTGCTCCCCCGCTCACGGGAGACGGCCTCTGCACCATGGCACTGGCTCAGGCCTCGCTGAGAGGCCGAGCAAAGCTTTCAGTACAGGTTAAACAGCGCCAGCCAGGGCTTTGGTCACTGGGACGCGGGCGTGGGCTGGCCCCACCCCCGGGCCATGGGCGCCGCGTGGCACACAGCGCACAGGAGCAGAAAGGCGTCTCAGCCGGGCTTTTCTGGGGGAGAAGAGCAATGGGCACCACACACCGTCGCTGTCCTCCGGCAGCGCGTGTGCGTCAGACACTTGTGGCTGGCTTCATGACCTTTCCTCACCAACGTCCTGCTTCTGGATCCAAGGAACAGGTGCAGTGGCGTGCCACAGCATGGTGCAGCCTGCCGCTCTGCCCGGCTTAGTGATGGAGAGGGGCGGACGGCTGCCCGGAGCCCTCCTGAGGACCACCTGGGCAGCCTGTGGTTCTTGAACGAAACCTCCCAGCTCTGCACTCGGCCAGCTGTCCGGCCTCTCGGAGGATCAGCTCACACATTAAATGCCCGTGCCTAGCGTAACTCTGTGTTAGCAGACCCCCTGGGGAGGTGGGCTGACTCCACCAGCCCTGGTTCTGCCCCTCCATCCTCACGTCCCGCAAGAACCGGGCCGGGGAGGGAGTCAGTGAGCACACTGCGTGGCTGTGCACTGCCGTGAGCCTGGGGCTGCGTGTTCACCTCTGCCTCTCGCTGTCTTTAGGATGGGGATATTCTAGCCTCCAGCTTCTCCGTGGACACCCAGGTGGCGTACATCCTCAGCCTGGGCGTGGTCAAAGAGTTCCGAAAGCATGGCATCGGTAAGGGCGGCCCGGCGCACCCTGGCTCCTCGTGTCCCTCGGCCCCGTCCGCCTCAGAGCTCTGCTGTCTCCCCACCCCTGCGGCCGTCACCCGTGTTCTTTCCCCACGTGGCCAGGCCCTTGTGCCACAGCCTGCTCCCCAGGCCTGACCCAGACCAGCTCCTCCTCCTCCTCCGAGCAGCCCCTCCCGCCACCCCTGCAGCCACACAGCCGTGTCTGGTCCTGACTGAGGGTGAAAACGCAAGCAGAAGTAAAGACCCTGTGTTCACTCTCCTCAGTGCACACTGCTTGTCCTCAGAGCCCTCCGACACAGCCGCGGGCAGCACAGGTTCACCCTTGTGTGGGAAAGCTCAGTGAGCCTCCGTGGCTTCACCTGTGCCTGCTGCTCATGGGCCCCGCTGGCCGGGAGGCATCCGGGGCTTTGCCTGCAGGTGGCTGTGGGAGGATGGGCTCTGTCCGCTGCACATCCTTACCTGCGTCACCGCCCTATGTGTGTAACCTTCACCTGGTCTCCCCAAGGGTCCCTTCTACTTGAAAGCTTAAAGGACCACATATCGACCACTGCCCAGGACCACTGCAAAGCCATCTACCTGCACGTGCTCACCACCAACAACACAGCCATCAGCTTCTATGAAAACAGAGACTTCAAGCAGCACCACTACCTGCCCTACTACTACTCCATCCGCGGCGTCCTCAAGGACGGCTTCACCTACGTCCTCTACATCAACGGCGGCCACCCGCCCTGGACAATCTTATATCCTTCCTGCTGGGGCCCAGGGTCCGTGGCTTCCTAGCCATGTAGGTGGCAGAGCCGGTGAAGCTCACGGATGCATTTTGCCCAGCCCGGCTCGAGCTGTGGGCAGACCTGGGTGTGTGATGAGGCTGCACGGAGTAGAAGACGGGTGCGCCGCCATCTACGTTCCCAGACCTGAACCTGGCTTGGGAAGCGGATTTCAACCCTCTTGCCCAAGATGTACCACCCATCTTCCCCACACGGGGGTGGAAGCCTCCTGCCCTCGTGGAGCCTGTGTGCTAGCTGGGGAGAAAGCAAGGGAGGCGAAAGAACAGTTTGTTACTTAGAACACTTGGGGTCACAGCGTCCTTACGGAGGTGCAGGGCCCAGAGGTGTGTCCTGCGCCCTGCCGCCCCTCCACTGGTCTGACAGGCAGGAGGAAGGAAAGTGCCGTGTGTGTGTGTGTGTGTGTGTGAGTGTGAGTGTGTGTGTGTGTGTGTGTCCATGTTCAAATGAATGAGTCTAGGATTTGTCTGCTTCGAAGGAAAATAATCAGAAGGAGAGACCCAGGACCCCATCGCCTCCTGGCTTGGATGAACGTGGGCCCCTGCAGACCTCCAGGGTCAGCACCATTGACCCCTCCTTGGTGGGGTTTGGGGCCCCATCACTCCTGTGTTCTGCCAGACCCCTGCCCCACTCGCTGTCTGAGTGCCCGGAACCTCACCCAGGGTCCCTCGTGGTCCCGGGCCCCACCTCGTTACTCTGTACGCAGAGGCCTCTCTGAGCTTTCCAGGGCCATGCAGGAGCTCAGCAGGTTCTTGTCCCCGGCCCCCCAGCAGGGCGTGCTGTGGGCCCGTAGTTCGTAGGTCGCTGGCAAGCCCGAAGACCAGTGCTCCTGGGCAGGCAGGGGTGGTGGGGGCGAGTTCGCATCTTCCTTGACAGAGCCCACAGACTACATCCAGCACCTGGGCTCAGCGCTGGCCAACCTGAGCCCCTGCTCCATCCCGCACAGGATTTACCGCCAGGCCCACAGCCTGCTCTGCAGCTTCTTGCCATGGTCAGGCATCTCCAGCAAGGGTGGCATCGAGTACAGCCGCACCATGTGATGCCCGCTGGGCAGCCTCCACCAGTTCCCACCCTGCGGCGCCCTGGCGAGCCCGCCTTCCTGTCCATCTGACCTCTGCTGTCCTCTGCAAGGAGCTGGTGACCCCCTGCCGGGCCCGTCGGCCTGCTCCAGCTGCAGGCCCGGTGCTATGCGGGCTCAGAGCAGAGAGCGTGCCCAGCCTCCTCACAGGTAGGCCACAGCACACAGTAGGGCACGGAGCGTGAGGTCCTTCCAGCAGGCCCTGCCTGGAGTCCCGAGCAATCCCGGAAACGGCACCAGGAGGGCCGGTGACGGGGCTCTGCAGCCCTGCAGAGCTTCGCTTCCAGAAAGGCTTGCTTTCGTTTCTGGTTTTGTTTTTTTTGGGGGGTGGGGGTGGGGAGGGGAGGTAGAGCTAAAGATTTATTTATTTGAAAGGCAAAGAGAGAGAGAGAGATCTTCCATGTGCTGGTTCACTCCCCAAATGGCCACAACAGCCAGGGCTGGGCCAGGCCGAAGCCAGGAACCTGGATCTACATCCAGGTTTTCCACATGAACGCAAGGGGCCTGAGCACTTGGACCATCTTCCACTGCCTTCCCAGGCCATTAGCAGGAGCAGAATTGGAAGTGGAGCAGCCGGCCCTGGAAGTGGTCCCCACGTGGGATGCCAGCGAACAGGTGGCAGCTTAACCCCTGTGCTGCAACGCCAGCCCCAAGGCTCTCTGCCTTTTAAATAACCTTTTAAATAATCACATGGTTCAAAAAATTAAAACCACACCCCCTGCCCCTCACACCCTGGTTGCTCAGCTTCCCCTGTGTCCCAGATGTGCTCACGGGAAATCCACAGAGACCTCAGCTCTATAGCAGTACCACCACCCACGGCTCAGATCAGCCCCTGTAGATGAGCCCGCCTCTCCCGGCCTCAGGGAACACCAGTGCTGGGAGGGGCGGGCGAGCCCAGGGCCCACCCTCGTGCACCCACGTGGCCCAGTGCAGGCTGGTGACGGCACAGCAGGCCCTGTGGCTACCTGGGCTGCATCTGTGTGTAGAAACACCAGTGCCTTCAGTTGTGCCGGGGGCAAAGGGAACCTGGCAGCCACTGACGAAAACTAACCTGCAGATGGGCTCCTGCCCCCGGGGTGCCAGGGCCTCACGGTGGGGTGGGGCAGTCTCCATGGGGCCTTCATCTTACCTCACTTTTCTCTCTCACAGGCTCCCCAGCTCTCCTGGCTTCTGGAAGCTTCTGCCTCTGCCCGGTGCCCTGGTCCTGCCTCCACACTCATGCATCCTCCCCACCAGGCGGCTGGCCAGGGGGGCTGCTCTCACCGGGAAGGGCGTACTGCCCGGGCCTCTCCTCCCCTGCCGCCTGTTCCGTCGGCCCTTTCCTGCAAGCTGAAGGGGACTGTGTGCCGCGAGGGAGCGGCACAAGTGTTACAGTCGTGTTTGTCCGCAAAGGCGCAGGAGCCTCAGAACAAAGTGGAGGGTGAAGGAGTCCGGGCCCCCAGTCCCCGGCCCCCCCCAAGGTGCCTGGAGCAGCGGCCGGGGTGGGGAGGCTCTTCCTGCGAGCACAGAGCTCTGGAGCTTAGCTCCCGGCTGTCCCCAAGACACCGGCCTGCCCGCTGGGTCCTGGGCTGCTCCGCACCCCTGGCCTGCCGCTGGGAGCTGGGCTCAAGACAGGTTGTTCCCCTCCTTCGTGCTTCCATGAGCCGCAGCTCCAGGGCCTGGCCTGTGCAGATGGGAGACTGCGCTCACTGGTCTGGTCTAGCCAGGGCCAGAGGGCAGGAGTGAGTCACATGCCTGTGGCCCCTCAGCCTCCGAGGGCAGAGGCCGCGTCAGCTCTGAACTGTGTTTGCAGTATGCAGACATCACACACATCTAGCGTTCCTTCCGCCCTGCATCCCCTAAGAGCCATTTGCTGCCTGTCCTGCCCACCAGAGCGGCCAGGAACCAGGGAGGCAGGTCCACCCAGTGTTGCTATAGTGTCCAAGCCCCGTGGCAGAGGGTCCCAGCCCCGCTGCACCGCTGGCCTGTGCGAGAGGGGAGCCAACCCAGGCAGCTGGGACCGCAGTGCCCTGAGTGTCCCATCCCAGCTGTACAGCAGGGGGAAGGGTCCTCAGCATGCTGGCAGCCCCTCCTGGGCAGCGTCCTGCGGAGTGGTCCAGCCTTGGCTGCTGCTGGCCGTGTGCTGCCGCCATGGTGTCCTCTGCTCAGAATCAACGGTGATCATGTGATTATTTCTGCCCCATCGGGTGAGGGAAGAGTCTTCCAGAAGGTTCTGCCTTGGACATTCAGAATCCAGCTCAGATGCCTTGCCCGCCCTCCCCCACCCTGCCCCCTTAATCACTGCATTGTCCAGCTCTGTGCTGAGCGGATGGTAGTGTTTGAACACCAACGAATAAATAGACTGTGAGTGGGCGCTTCCGGTTGGCAGGCTGCCTGCAGGCCTTGCCCGAGGGTTTGCCTCCCTGGGCTGGGGCTGAGAATCTGTCTGGGGACTGTGCACTGCTCTCAGAAGGATGGCTTCCAGCTAAGGGACCGACTGCACACTGGTCTCTGCTCCTCCTCATCGACGGGCCCTCAGCAGCTGCCCCTGGTGGCTCCATTTCCCCAAGCTCAGCTTCGAGCTTGGCCGTGCACCAGGTGGGTGGCTCTGCAGCCCCCCTGAAACTTCTGTTCTGGTTTATAGAAGCCTCCCAGGGTGGTGCAGCCTCGTGGTCGGGGGCCCTGGGTCGGCACGCCCACGACGGGCCTGCGCAGGTGCCAGCCTGCTGGGCCAGTGCCTCCATCCCCCTGCACACAGCACACAGGGGTCTCCTGCCGGGCACTGGGCCTGGCACACTTGTCTGCAGGCCCCACAAGGGGTCTTGGTGTCTGAGACACAGCCTGCCCACGGGCTGCTGGCAGAGGCCTTGGTCTCCTCCCAACGCCAGGCCCAGCGCATCGCCAGCACACCGTGGGGGCCCTTCTGTGTCTTTGTCCATCGGGGAGGAGTGCGGGAGCTGGGGTTGGGCTCGCGTGTGACTGCAGCAGATGTCTCCCAGGGAAGGGCGCCGGCTGGGACTAACAGACAGCCCCCAGACCCAGCAGCAGTTCATGGTTGTGCCGTCAGGACAGGCGTTCGTGGGGAAAGTCAGCTGCACGGGGGGCTGGGGTGGGCCCAGGAGCTGGAGAGCCTGCCGAGGGCTGCTGCAGCCAGCTTGGCCATGGGTGACCACGCTCCCTGCCCGTGGGCTCCCTGTTCTGCCGGCTCTGGGTAGGTGACTCCTCACGTGGCCGCTGGCCCCCGGAGCTCACCCTGCAAGCAGCCAGGCCTCACTGCCAATATCAGTCAAGCGAGGCCCCGTGCCACACCCCATTCAAGAGGAAGGAATTGAGGGAGGGCCAGAATATGGGGCCGTGTGACTGTGGGTCACCAAACTGGCCACGGCACGGCCATCTGTGCCGAGGTGAGGGGTTTGGGTTTGTCCCAAACTGCTGGCTGCTGGCAGTGTCCGTCGTGTGTGTCCCCCTGGGCAGCAGAGCCACCCTGTCCTCAGCAACGCTGGGCTGGTGGCCTGGCCTCTGGCAGCCTCGCTGATGTCTCCTGAGCTGTCGGGTGTGCTTGGCTATTAGGGGAGAGGGCGGGGGCAGCCGCCTCCTATCACCCCCTGGGGTCGTGCAGAGACACTGCCCAGCCCTGGCTGCTCCTGAGCAGTTCAGACACCCACTCGCTCTGCTCCTCCTGGGGGCTGCTGCCGCCACCCAGCCGCTTCCACACAGAACAACCCAGGGACCTAGGAAATGCCCCGCCTAGGACCAGGCTGGAGGGGAGGGGGCGGGGCTGAGGGAAGGAGTCCTGCTGTCCTGATGCCGGCACGTGCGTCCAACAGGGGCCCAAGGTAGGGGCAGTGCTGAGTGCTCACCTGACCGAGGCCGCCCCGATGCTCCCACTCTCCCCACAGGACAGACCAGTGGTATGGGCAGCAGTTCTCAGTGAGTGGGGGCTTTGGGCCACGTCTGGAGGTGGGTTGTCAGGCCAGGAGGAGGGCACCCAGCACCAGCAGAGACCCAGTCCCAGATGTCAGCAGACCCTGGCACAGAGGAAGGCCCCACCTGGGTGCCCGGATTCCAGTCCAGTGTGGATGTGGGGAGTGGGGCCACCAGGGTAGGTCTTTGCTTTTCCTGCTAGGAGGGATGGGGTAGCTGGGAGCCCGTGTCCTTGCCTGAAACACCGCTTGTGCATTTGGGCCTGTGAGATCCTACCCACTCTATAGGGCCAGGAAGCTTCCAAGAAGCCCTCCTGGACCCCTCTGGGGTACTCCATCAGCCCACTGTGTGTGGCTCTGACTGGTGTGCCACCTCGCAGCGACGGGCAGGAGCACTGCAGACCCGTCCCTGGGGTGACAGTGGCCTGTTTCCGCCTGAGTCAGCTTGGTGAGAGACAGACAAGAAGGTGCAGGCCTTGCTTTTATTGACGTTAGACCTGAGGGCCCCCCACCTCTCGGGAACCTGATGCTCCGCTCGGCCCTGCCTCCCAGGTGCCAGTGGCTGATGTGAGGCTGAGGCTGCGAGGGCACGGCTGTGCTTACGTGTCTTCCGTCCCTCCCACAGGACCTCCTCCCTCCCTCCCCCCGGCCTTTCCCCGGGGTTGGCCCAGGTCTGGTGCCACCGGACAGCTGCCAGGGTGGCTCGGTGGGGAGGGCTACTGTGGGGAGGGGCTCCGCCCCCCCATTCTTTGGACCCGCCTCTCTGGCCACCGCCAGCACTGCCATCCTTTGCCCTGCTGTCCACAGCCCTGGCACTCGAGGGTCCCTACTGCCTCTCCAGGGCCCCAGAGCGGGTTCTCTTGCACAAGGGGCAAATGGTCTCCTCCAAGGCCCCCCAGGACCTCTTGGGCCTGACCCCCAAGCCCTCAGGGGCCCCAGGCTGGGAGGGCGTGTCCTGGGTCTGGTCTGAGCTGGAACTGGAAGCTGAGGGAGGAGGAGAGAGAGGGGTCACTAAGAGGCTTGGAGGAGAAGCAGCCTGCCCTGGGGTCCCCAGAACCCAGCAGCCTCCCAAAGGGCAAAGGAGGCAGCCTTGCCTGGAGAGGACCCTGGAGAGGGGGTGGGGGGTGAATGGTCCCTCCCGCCAACTTGAAGCAAGCCTCATTTTACACACAGAGACCCAGCAAGGTAGACAGCTGGCATCAGATGCAGCGCTGAGACAGGCGCCTCCCCTTCGCCTCACACCCCCTCGCCACACCCCAGCTGTGCGCCACCAGCGCCCAGACTGCGGGGGCGTGCAGCTTTCTGACCTGCCAGCAGCGAGCACAAGGCTGGCGCCAGGTGCATCAAGACCCGAATCCCTCAGAGTGCGACATCACCACCATAGGGGCCTCCTGGCCCCTAGGTCCCTTCCTCTCCACTGCTGGACCTCTCCCCCTCCCCTCAGGCGGCTTGAGAATGCAAAAGGTCCATCTGAGTCCCCAGACCAGCCCTCCCCACGGATCTTGCCCTCTGTCCCCAGGGCCGCCTCGACAGAGCTCACCTGTGCTTCTCAGGCTGTCCCCGGGCACTTGGGCTTCCAGAAGGGCTGAGCAACGGCTGTTACCTGGGCCCAGAGGCCCCTGTGGCAGCACCAGGAGCCAGGCAGAGCCCTCAGGCTGTGGCAGGCAGCCGCCGGTCATGAGCTGGCCCAGCCAATGGCTTTTACATTGGCCAGCAGGCTGCATGTGGCCCGGCAGGTAGAGAGCCAGGCCCCGGAGGTGGCGCAGCCGGAAGTTCTTGGGCTTGCTGCCCTGGGCAACGGGGCACTGCTGCTGCTGGTTCCCCAGCCCCCCCTCATAGATGTTGAGCGGTGTGTCGAGGTGGCTGAGGTGTCCTTGGGCCCGGCCCACTGCATCTGCAGAGGGGAGAGGGGCACCAGGTTGTGGCTGGCCGGCCCAGCAGCCAGGAGGAGAGAACTTAGCAGTGTGCCTCTGGGATGACTCATACTTGGACTCTGCTCCCAGCCTGCTGAGCCTCAGCTTACCTGCCTTGTGAGATGGGCTCAGCCCCCTGGCCCCACCCAATGTGTTACTCTTTCCCCCTTCCCCAGCCGACAAGGGAGATCCAGGAAACCTGGGGCCTTCTCAGTGACCCCTTTGTGGCCCCAACCGTAGAATGAGTACTCTGATGACAGTGAGGTCACTGCATAGTGGGTCCAGTGTTAAGTGACCAGCCCAGGGTCACATGGCCCAGCACGCCTGTCCCCAGGGCCACCCAGCAGCTTGGGGCCCAGGTCGGGACAGCTGATCATCCCTCTCCTGGCTCTCCCCCCACCCCTACCCCCACCCCCACCCACAGCTCAGCACCTTCTCTGATGCGCAGCTCAGAGAACGCACAGACCAAGGCTTCCATGGAGGGCCAGCGCGGTGGGGGAGGAGCTGTCAGGCCGCGTGTGTGGCACAGCCCTGCTCTCTCCTTGCCTAGCAGGTGGGTCTGCAGGTCTCCCGTGGTGACTGGCTCTTATGATGTCACAGGGAAGACTCAGCCTTCCTGAGAAGCCACTGGTTTGGGGATGGTGTCTAGGGGAGGGCTAGGAAATGGACCAGAACCACAGAGGAAGTCCCTGGTTCCCTTGACTTGGCGCAGTCCACGCCAGACGGCCTGCTTGGAGCGACCTCTCCGGCCTCAGCGGTGGGGGAACAGTGAGGGTTTGAGGTGCAGTCCTGCCAGGACCTGACATGCAGAGAAAGCTGATTCAGGGTAACAGGGCAAGTCACTTGCCTCCCTGTCCATTTCCCTACTAGTGAGTCCCCTGGTAGTGTGTGGAGGAACAGGAGCCCTCACATACTCCTGGTGCGGGGTGTAAATGGGCACATCCAGTTTGGAAAACAGCTTGGTAGTTTTACAGAATTTAAATATTCAGCTTCCCTGATTCACAGATGACATAATCTTGATTGTAAAGGAAAGCACGTTTAAAAACCCCCAACCTACTAGAGCTAATGAAATCGAGCAAAGTCGCAAGATAGTGCCCATAGATTATATTTCTATGCACAAAGAATGAGTAATATAGGAAGAAATTTAACCAAACAGGTGAGAGAATCAACATTGAATACAACCAAACTGCTGAGAGAACCTGAAGAAAAATAAATGGGAAAAAAAGTCTATGTTCGTGTTTGAAGACAATATTGTGAAGATGGCAGTACCCCCAAAGTGGTCAGTGCAGTCCTTATCAAATCACAATGGCCTGTGGGTAGTGCATTAGGGTTCTCCAGAAAAACAGTCAGTAGGGTGTTCGTAGATACATGAGGCTTTTTAAAAATTATTTATTTATTTGAAAATCAGAGTTACACAGAGAGGAGGGGCAGAGAGAGAGAGAGAGAGAGAGAGAGAGAGAGGTCTCCCATCTGCTGGTTCACTCCCCAATTGGCCGCAATGGCCGGAGTTGCACCGATCTGAAGCCAGGAGGCAGGAGCTCTTTCAGGGTCTTCCACTCGGGTGCTGGGGCCCAAGGACTTGGGCCATCTTCTACTGCTTTCCCAGGCCACAGCAGAGAGCTGGATTGGAAGATGAGCAGCCGAGACTAGAACCGGTGCTGATGTGGGATGCTGGCGCTTCAGGCTGGGTGTTAACCCGCTGAGCCACAGTGCCAGCCCCTGAGGCTTTTTTTTTTTTTTCAAGATTTATTTATTTTAAAATAAAATAAAATAAAATAAAATTTAAAAAGATTTATTTATTTGAAAGGAGAAGATACAGAGAGGCAGAGACAGAGGCACTTCTGGGGCATGAACCAGCAGATGGAAGAGCCCCCACTCCCCATGCCTCTGCCTCTCTGTAACTCTGCCTTTCGAATAAATAAAATAAATCCTAAAAAAAAAAAAAAAGGTGCAAGCCACTACAGAAAAGAGTTAAACATACAATTCCATATAACCCAGCAAGGCTACTCCTAGATACACACGTAAGAACTGAAAAGATATTCAAGCAAACACTTTGACAACACACAGCAGCACTATTCGCAATCGCCAAAAGTTGGAAACAACCCAAGTCTTCATCAACAGATGAAGGGAGAAACAAGTTGGTGGAATGCTACTTGGCTGAAAAAGAATATCACTTACAGTAAAAAGGAATACAGTACTGATATGTGCTGTTACGGAGGAATCTCAAAAACGTTCTAGTAAGTGAAAGAACCAAACACGGAAGTGCACATGTGTTGATTCCGTTTCTGTGAGATATCCGTGGGTACAGAAGCAGAAGGTGCCCGCCAGGGACCAGAAGGGAGTGGGGTCGGGAACTGACTGCTGAGCTACTAGCAGATTTCCTTTATGGATGCTCAGGATGGTTTGAGATTAGATGGAGGTGATTGCTAAGCAGCGTTATAAGCTAATGCCGCTAAAACGAACACTTAATAGGGAAGTTTATGCTGCATGTATTTAACCACACAAGAAAAGTAACTGATAAGAAACAAACAAACAAAAAAAACCTGTCCAAGTCATCAAGAATAAAGAACATTTGAGAAACTGCCACAGTCTAGAGGAACCTCGGGAAATGTGACAACTAAATGTCATGTCCCAAATAGAATCCTAGAACAGAAAGGGCCTTAAGTTATTTTTTCTTTAAAGGTTTATTTATTTTACTCGAAAGAGTTACACAGAGAAGGAAAGGCAGAGAGAGAGAGGTCTTCCATCCTCTGGTTCACTCCCCAATTGGCCGCAATGGCTGGAGCTGTGCCAATCCGAAGCCAGGAGCCAGGAGCTTTTTCCAGGTCTCCTGCATGGGTGCAGGGGCCCAAGGGCTTGGGCCATCTTCTACTGTTTTCCCAGGCCATAGCAGAGAGGTGGATAGGAAGTGGAGCAGCCAGGACTCAAACTGGCACCCATATGGGATGCCGGCACTGCAGGCGGCGGTTTTACCTGCTACGCCACAGCACCAGCCCCCGGCCTTAGCAAGGAGGGGCTGGTGCTGTGGCCTAGTGGGTTAGGCCTCTGCCTGCCATGCCAGCATCGCATATGGGCACTGGTTTGAGTCCCTGCTGCTCCACTTTTGATCCAGCTCCCTGCTAATATGCGGAAAGCAGCAGAAAATTGCCCAAGTCCTTAGATTCCTGCCACCCACCCGTGGGAGACATGCATTAAATCCTGGGCTCTTGACCCAGCCCTGGCTGTTTATGGACATTTGGGAAGTGACCCAGCACATGGAAGATCTCTGTTGGTCTACCTGTCTTTTTCTCTCTATATATCTATCTTTCAAATTAAATAAATACATAAATATTAAAAATCAAGTGAGGAGCCTCGGATTCCTTCTGTGCTCCCAAGAGCCCCACCGACCACAGTGGGTTCTGCCCACAATGTCTGGTTGAATTCTCACAGCCTTCATATAATGCGATACCATCAGGTATTACAGCCCTGTTTTAAGGTTAAAGAACCTGAACCAGAGAGGTTAAGGAACTTGTTCAAGTTCACCCGGCAGACTGCTTTCTTTTGGGTACAACGCCAGGAGCTTGTTGACTCCAGTTTGCCCTAACTGCAAAGCAGCACTTCAGATGCTGGTGGCCTGTTGTGAGCACACAAGCCCAGAACTAACACCTACCCTAGATCCAGCCCTCAACTGGGACTTCCCAGCCAGGACAGAGGCATGTAGGGAGAAGGGGATGGCAGGCAACAATACAGAAGGCTTGGCCCTCCCTCAGAGACTTTGCCTCAACCCAGTGATTACTCCTACTCATTCCTGCATGCATTCATTTGGTCAGGCAGGTAACTTAACAAATAAATTCTGAAGACTTGTGTCGATTTGGGGATATAATCGAGAATGAGGCATAAAAAGCTCTCTGCTTTCATGGAGGTCACATGTCCAGATTAGAGACACAGAAGCAGAGGAGATAACAGTGATGTAACCGGGAGGAGGCTGGGGACGGTCCCGCTTTGGCGCAGGTGGTCAGACAGCCCTCCTTGACACAGTCATCTGGTGAGACCTGAGTGGGCAGAGGAGCCACCACACAAACAGCTGCAGTTGGGAAGAGCCCTCCAGGCAGAGGGGGCTGCAAGTGTCCTTCAGAGCACACAATGGGCAAGTTTAGGGGAAAGGCAGCCAGGGTGCATGGGACACAGGCGGTGAGGACCATGGTTGGGGCACCTGGGAGGCCAGGCTGAGGGGTTGAGTTTTATTCCAGATGTAATAGGAAGTCACTGGGTAGTCTTTTTCCTTTTAGAGTTTGGTTTTGCCCATGTTTCTTTTCAATATGGTAAAACTCACCCTTTAAGTCTTAAAGATTTATTTATTTGAAAGGCAGAGAGAGATTATCTTCCATCTGCTGGTTCACTCCTCAACCATCTGTAATGAAGGGGCTGGGCCAGGCCAAAGCGAGGAGCCAGGAACTCCATCTGGTCTCCCACAGTGGGGAGACCCAAGCCCTAGGGCCCATTAGCAGGGAGCTGGATAAAAAGTGGGGTAGCCAGGACTCAGACTGTTGTAGGCTGTGACTTAACCCACTGAGCCACAATGCGGTTCCAAAATTCACCCTTTTTAGTGCACTGTTTTATGAGTTCTGACAAACACCTTACTGTCCTGTAACTACCACCACAATCAAGGTACAGAACAGAGCCATCTCCTCCCCAAATTATCTTGGACACCTTTGTAGCCAACTCCCCCTAGTAACCACTGGTCTGTTTTCTGCCTGTACAGTTTCTTTTTATTTGTTTTTTTTTTTTAAGATTTATTTATTTATTTGAAAGTCAGTTACAGAGAGGCAGAGAGAGAGAGAGAGAGAGAGAAAGAGATAGGGAGAGGGAGAGAGAGAGAGAGAATGTTTTCTATCCGCTGGTTTACTCCCCAGATGGCCACAACAGCCCGAGCTGTGCCAATCCTAAGCCAGGAGCTTCTTCTGGGTCTCCCACGCAGGTGCAGGGCCCAAGGACTTGGGTGGTCTTCCTTCTGCTTTCCCAGGCTATGAGCAGAGAGCTGGATCGGAAGTGGAGCGGCCGGGACTCAAACAGACGCCCATGTGGGATGCCAGCACTGCAGGCGGTGGTGCCAGCCCCATGTACAGTTTCATCTTGTCCTGTTCTCATATAAATGAATTATACAATGTGTAGCTTTTTTTTTTTGAGTCTGGCTTCTTTCACTTAGCCGCGCATTGGAGACTCATTGCATAACAATGTGTCCTGAGTTTGCTCCTGTTTTGTTGCTGAGGGATATTTCATATAAGGGACTTCCACAGTTTATCCATTCTCAAGTTGACAGACACTTGGGTGGTTTGCAGAATCAGGTGATTGCAAATAAAGCTGCTATAAACATTTAGATACGGGTTTTTACATAAATACAGGTTTTCATTTCCCTCTGGTAAGTACCTATTAGTGGGATTACTGAATCATAGTTTAAGTGTATGCGTGTTTAACTTTACAAGAAACTATCAATCATTTCCAGAGCAGTTCAGGTTGCTCGAAATTCCTTTCAAGTGTTTGGCATTGTCAGAATTGTTTGCTTGTGATTTTAACCATTTTAACAACTTCATATTGGTGTCTTGCTGTTGTTAATGTGTCTTTCCTTAATAACTGGTAATTCTGAGCATCTTTTCATTTGCTTGTTGTTAGTCATCCATATATCTTCTTTTGTGAAGTACCTGTTTAGGTTTTGGTCCATTTGCTAAACGGATTGTCCTGAGTGCTGAGTTCTTTATACACTCCAGATATGAGACCTGGTGTCAGATATGTGTTTTGTGCCTAACATCTCCTAGATGGTGGCTCATCTTTTAGTTTTCTTTTATATAGTGTTGTTAAATAAAATTTGTGGGAGTCATGTTAACAGACCAGACCAAGCAGAATGGAGTCCTACATGCGAGGTGCCTCATAATCCCAGTGAACTTGGAAATGGGCAAGCTTCCTCCCAAACAGGAAATTCACACAACCAATTAAAACCGTCAAGCGAGTCAACCCGAGCTAGCATGATAAGGAAATCCCCTGTGCCTTAACCTATACAAGGAAGGTAACCCGAAGTAACCTGATGTTAACCAGCCCGAATTTTCACTGCTGTTTCCTTGCTCCTGCTAAGCTTCCTTACAGAAGCCATGTCCGTTGGAGCACTTTTTTCATAGCAAGGATGATGCCGCAATCACAAATCCTAGTAACTGACAATCCCATCATTAAGCTCGACTTGTTGAAAAAAAAACTTTTTAAAGATGTACTTCTTTATCTGAATATCAGAGTGCCCAAAGGAGGCAGGGAACTCCCCACATGGCTACAACAGCCAGGGTTGGGCCAGGCTGAAACCAGGAGCCAGGAATTCCATCCTGGTCTCCGGCTCGGGTGCCAGGTGCCTAAGCATTTCAGCCATCATCTGCTGCCTTTCCAGGCACACTGGCAGGAAGCCGCATCAGGAATGGAGCAGCCAGGACTTGAACGGGCGCCCCCAACGGAAGATAGCGCCGAAGCACAACCGTGGCTCTTGAACGTTCGTTTCTAAGCTGAGGAGCATACGTGTTGTATTATCGACGAAGTCCAACCTATCCTGAGAGAATCTGTTTAGGGAAAATGCTTCGGTATATTATATACTCATAAAACAGCTTGCTCAATCCAGGTTTCCTTCTATAAAACGTAGTTTCAGGTTCTACACGTAGGCTTGCGGCACTTTAATTCTGTATACAGGGCCAGGTTGAGAAGGGGTCAGTTGTTCGCATGTGGGTTCCACAGCTCCTCGCGGAAGGTTATCCTCGCGCCACCACAGGCCTCAGTCGCTCAGTCCGGCACGGGACGCGTCGCCTCAGCAACCGGCCGGGTGCAGGGCGTGCCCGGAGGCCCCTGCGCCCGCGCGGGGCCGCCTTCCTCCCCGTCCACTCGTCCAGGTTCCTGTCATCTCACCATCCCCGCCCGTTCCAGGTACGGCTTCCGGTTAGGCACTCTGTGGGGACCGACCCTCGTGCTGGCCGGATGTCTCGCCAGAAGGGGCCGCGGGCGCAGGGACAAACGTCGGCGCGCGCAGCCTCCAGCCGATTTCCGGCTTGTCGCGAAGGCCAGGCGGCTGCGCATGCGCGGTCGGGACGAGCCGCCTTCGCTCGTGAACGCGGCGTCCTCGTTCGACGGTTCCGGAGGAGGGGCGCGAGGCCAAGCCTTCCACACAGGACGTAGAGGCAAAGCACTGTGCGTAGCACGCAAGAAGGACACGCGGCCCGGGAGTACATCGTTTATGGAAGGGAGAAGCAGTCTGTGAAGCCCCTGTCAGGCGCGCCAGCCGGGGCCACGTGTCCGTGTCGCCCTCGGCGTCCTCGCAGCGCCCCCTACGGCCCTCTTTGTGCGCCTGCGCCCGCCGCCGCGTTTCGGCTCGCGCCTTGTTTGGCCCCGGCCGCGCTCCGTCCCGGGCTCCGTGCGTTGCCATGGAGACCGGCGAGGCCCGGGGCTGCGGGCGCCGGGAGCGAGCGGCGGCGACCTGAGGCGCCGGGGGACGGAGGCAGCATGTCTTTCCGCGACCTCCGCAGTAAGGCGGCGCCTCGGCCCGGGCCTCGCGCGTCTCCCTGAGGCTGGGGGCCCCTCTGCCGGCCGCGTGCGCCTGGGGCCTCGGCCCCGTCTTCAGACATGTCGTGGAAGGCGGAGCTTTAAAAGAGGAGTTTGCCAGGGCGCAGAAGCGTTTTGGGGAAATCCGTGCGGTTCTTCCGCGAACTTTCCGCAGAGCCCGCCCCGCCCCCGGCTCTGCCTGTGGCGGTGGAAGGCTCTCGGCCTGCCCCCGGGCCGCGCGCGGCTGGTGCTCCAGTTGCCGCGTTGGGGATTCCCGGGAGAACGCAGGGGCTGTTCGGGGTGGGGGTGGGAAAGCCAGGAGAGCGGAGAGGGAGCTGGGGGATGATCGTGTTGGGCTTTAGGGCCTGCCGGGGGCTGCCGCGGGTGGAGCAGAGCCTGGCGTGGATTGCTGTGTGCGTGGAGGCCCCGAGCCCCGCCGGCCAGGGGCCGCGGGCGGGTGGGTGCCGGGACCCGCCGGTTACGTTCCGGCTGGTCGCCGTCGAGGGGAGGTGGGCTCGTGTGACCTGGAGCTAGGCCTGGGAGGAAGCGGAGGCGAAGGCTTAGGACCGAGCCACGCTGTGTGCTGTGTCTCTCTGCGGGCTCCCCCTGCGCAGGGGGTCCTGACAGGCCTCTCCCTGAGGTCAGCTCGCAGAGGACAGCGTGTGTCACGTGGAGGACGGTGCTCCCCTGAGATTGTGTCACTGAGCAGTGCCGCCATCCCGCTTTTTAGAGGTTCACGTAACGGCGTCCGCCTTGTTAAGCAAGTTCGCGCCTCCTTCGGCTCTGTTAGGAATTCCTCTTTTCTGCAGTGCAGATGTCCGGAGGCCACTTCCGCCCGCCCGCCCGCCCGCCGTGGCGAGACTCGCAGCCTCTGAGGTTGGCAGTTCTCGGTGACGACCAGCTACCAGATGGCCGTCTCCTCCCGCGTAGCCTTGTGAGAGGTCCCGCTCTGCTAGGGGGTGTCGATTTGCCCTTAAGTGAATGCCATGCGACTCCGTGGTGCGTGGTAAGGGGCTTGCTCGAATTAGGCTCCTCTTTGACACTACTGCAGCAGAACTAGCAGCACGCGGTGACCGCCGTGTGGTGGGAGGAAGCGTCTAGGCAGCACCTGAGTGGTGGAGGCCGCCGCTGTTTGCTGTTGCTCCATGCACACTGCCCCCAGAAGGAGTCCCTTGCTGCTTTGCTCTTTGCCTGCTCTGACCTTCTCTGCCGTGGTCTGAAAGCTGACCTAACCTCCGGTGCCCTCGTGGGCTATGTGAATTTTGAACGTCGTCTTCCCGGAGAGAAGGGAGAGACAGTCCCTAGTGAGGAAGCTCAGTTTTGGCACATGTGGGAACTCAAAAATGTTTGTTGTGTTCGTTTCCAAGTCCTGCTTTCTTCAGAGCACTGCAGGTTTTCATGAGGGGACTCCAGCTGACACTGCCAGTGCTCCTGTTACTGCTCCTGAATCTGTTTTATAATAAACCAAATATTGCTGTATAGATCACATACCATCTTAATATTTCTCTGAAAGCAAGGTAGCTAATCTTTAAAATTTGTGTATTAAAGTCCCCATATATGTTTGTTAAAAAAAAAAAGTGAACTTTAATTTTCCCTTCCCAAACATCCACTATTAGCATGTTAAAATAATTTATAAGGCCAGGCATTTCTTGGTTTGAGTGGTAGGAGAAAGATAGCAAAGAGAAATTCACAGCTAATCTGTAAACCTCATTGTCCCACGTCATCATCACTTCGCTCATTGAACTTAAAGATGTAGAAGATTGGGTATTTTAAGTGTTACCTCCTTTTTATTATAAGCATTGATAAGCAGGCCCTAAAGCTCTCAGTAGACGGGAGTAGGAGAGAAAGCAGGAGCAGGGTGAGTAGTTGTGGTTTGATGGGAAACTGGCTGATTTATCTTTTCTTTGGGCAGATTTCACAGAGATGATGAGAGCCCTGGGGTATCCACGGCATATTTCTATGGAAAATTTCCGCACCCCCAATTTTGGCCTTGTGTCCGAAGTGCTTCTTTGGCTTGTGAAAAGGTTTGAACTGCAGCTTTTCTGGTTTCTAAGATGGAATACTAGCTTTTATTTATTGGAAACCTAGAAATAAAACGTTGTGATGCCAAAGAAATATTTCTGTTTGACAGACTCAGTTGTGACGTAGAAGTCATCTGTGTTGGGGCAGGCGTGGAGCCATCAAGACGTCTGCGTCCCACATCAGAGCGCCAGGGTTTCCCTCAGCTCCTGCCCCTGACTGCAGCTCTCTGCAGATGCACGCTCTGGGAGACGGCAGTGCTGGCTCACGTAGATGGGTTCCTGCCACCAGCATGACAGTCCGGGCGGGAGTTCCCTGCTCCTGGCCAAGGTGGACTTCTGGGAAGTGAAGCAGCAGACGGGGACACACCCTCTGCTTTGTCTCTGTGGCTGTCTCTTTCTCACTGCCTCTCAAATAAATAAACAAACAAACATTTTTTTAAAACTTGGCTAAATTAAAAGTATGCCACGAGGGGTGTTTGGCACAGTAAAGTGGCCACTTGAGATAACCGTATGCCGTATTGCAGTGCCTGGTTCAGGTCCCAGCGCCTCCACTTCCCAGCCCGGCTTCCTGCTCATGTGCTTCCCTGAGGCAGCAGATGATGGCTCAACTGCCTGTGTCCCTGCCACTCAGGTGGGAGACCCAGACTGGGTTCTGGGCTCCTGGCTGTTCTGGGTATCTGGGGAGTCACCCAGTAGATGAAGATCTCTCTCTCTCTCTCTCTCAAATGAGATGAAGAAAAAGCAAGAGTTTGAAAAATTATGCTGTGGGAGAGTGGGATGAACCGGGCAGTGGTGAAGAGAGAAAATTCTCAGCCAAGGCCGGCGCTGCGGCTCACTAGGCTAATCCTCCGCCTGCGGCGCCGGCACCCCGGGTTCTAGTCCCGGTCGGGGCGCCAGATTCTGTCCCGGTTGCCCCTCTTCCAGGCCAGCTCTCTGCTGTGGCCAGGGAGTGCAGTGGAGGATGGCCCAAGTGCTTGGGCCCTGCACCCCATGGGAGACCAGGAGAAGCACCTGGCTCCTGGCTTCGGATCAGTGCAATAGGCTGGCCGCAGCACGGCGGCCATTGGAGGGTGAACCAATGGCAAAGGAAGACCTTTCTCTCTCTCTCTCTCTCTCTCTCTCTCTCTCACTCTCACTGTCCACTCTGTCAAAAAAAAAAAAAAAAATTCTCAGCCAAGTGCTGGTGCAGACCTCTCTTGGCCCTAATACCGAGTGCCTGAGACCTTCCTGCACACTCTGATGAGTGCCCTACATTATATATAATTTAAATTTCTCTGTGTGTGATAAAACTCACAGACTTCCTGGTTGACAGTTTTCCTGTTAAGAACCCAACAGTAAATACTTTACATGTTGCTTCACATAAAATTCAGATGGTGTAGTATGTCTGGCACGTACTCTCCTTTGTTCTTATAATGTAGACCCATCCTTGGCTTGCCAGCTGGACAGAATCACGTCAAGGGCTATGGTCTGCTAACCCTGATGAATTATCAATAATTAGAAGAAGTAGCTTCAACTCTGCAGCTTCTCAAAGCTAACTATTTAGACCTTACATTTCACAAAACTGTACGGTCTGAGACAGGTTTAATTTTGTAAGCTTAGCCCCACATTTGATTTTTGAAATCCATTAAACCTGTTCTTTTTAGACTTTATATATTTGAGAGTCAGAGTTACAGAGAAAGAGAGGGAGCCACAGAGAGAGGTCTTCCATCTGCTGGTTCACTTCCCAAATGGCCACAATGGCCACAGTTGGACCAATCCGAAGCCAGGAGCCAGGAGCTGCTTCTGTGTCCCCCACATGGGTGGAGGGACCCAAACATTTGGGCCATTTTCTGCTCTCCCAAGCCATAGCAGAGAGCTGGATGGGAAGTGGAGCAGCTGAGCTCAAACTAGCACTCCTATGGGATGCTGACAACACAGGCAGAAGCTTAACCTACTACACCACAGCGCCAGCCCCTAAACCTGTCCTTAGGTAGGGCTTTGTCCCTGTGGTTTTCCATGTTGCTCTTAAGGTTTCTGAGTCTTACCTTAGCTGGGACTTGGAGAGCCTCTTGTGGGAGCTCCGTCGTCCCCTGGGTGCCGTCTCTCTGTAGCATGCTTCTGCTGGACTCACTGTGTTTCTTCTCTCTCTGACAGGTATGAACCTCAGACTGACATCCCTTCTGACATAGACACTGAACAGGACCGCGTTTTCTTCATTAAGGCAATTGCCCAGTTCATGGTTAGTTGATAGTTTTTTGTTTCCAAAGATTTATTTTATTTATTTGAAAGGCAGAGTGACAGAGAGGGAGAGACAGAAACAGAGAGAACTCCGACCCTCTGGTTCACTCCCCAGCTGTCCACAGCTATTGCAGCCATTGTGGGGAGTGAACCAGCGGATGGAAGATCTGTCTCTACTCTCCCTCTCTGTCACTCTGCCTTTCAAATAATTTAAAAAAAATATTTTTTGGCTGGCGCCACGGCTCGCTTGGCTAATCCTCTGCCTGCAGTGCTGGTACCCCAGGTTCTAGTCCCGGTTGGGGCGCCGGATTCTGTCCCGGTTGCCCCTCTTCCAGGCCAGCTCTCTGCTGTGGCCCGGGAGTGCAGTGGAGGATGGCCCAAGTGCTTGGGCCCTGCACCAGCATGGGAGACCAGGAGGAAGCACCTGGCTCCTGGCTTCAGATCGGTGCAGCACGCTGGCCGTAGCAGCCATCTGTGGGGTGACCCAACGGAAGGAAGACCTTTCTCTCTCTCTCTCTCTCTCTCACTCTCACTCTCTCACTGTCTAATTTTGCCTGTCAAAAAAAATTTTTTTTAAAAAACATGAAGTAATAAAGATTTCCTATACTCTGCCTTCAGCCCAGCTGCCTTCCCCACAACCACTATGCTGTTCACATTTCTCCTGAAGTCCCTGTATCCATGCACGGTTTCCATGCTGCGCATTCACATGACCTTTCAGATGCACCCTCAGATGCATGGATCACAAACATTTTTGCCCCAAAATAAACTTACCTTTTAATGTTACTTTCCACCAACTATTTGAAATACCCTCATGTAAGCAAATTAGAATATATTAGTTTTTTTTTCCTTTCTGCTGTACAAACGATAGCATAGCATATACCACTGGCTAGCATTTTACTTTTTTCACCTAATAGTGTGTTTTTGGAGAACTTGCCAAGTACATACAGAATTTCCTCATTTTCACTTAGCACCAGAGTGGTGCTGGCATGCATAGATGCCGTAATTTATGTAGGTAGACATTTAAGTTGTAACCAGCTTTTCTTCTTAGGGTTGTTTTTTTTAAAAAAAACTTGTGCTTTTTGAAAGAATGCTGTAACACATAATCTGTATATACTCTGTCACTTGTGTGCGTGTAACCACAGAGCAGGTTCACAGGATTAGCATTGCCAGGTCAAAGATATATGCATTTGTAATTTTCCCGTCTTTACCAAATAGTTCTTCATCAAGATTACACCAGTTCACACACCTGCTTACAAGGTGCGAGTCACCTGAATTACCTTTTTTTATATATATTTATTTATTTATTTGAAAGGCAGAGGAGACACAGATCGTCCATCTGCTGGTTCACTCCTCAAAATGGCTGCAACGGCCGAGGAGCCAGGAGCCAGGAGCTTCAGGTGGCCAGGAGCTTCATCCAGGTCTTGCATGTGGGTGCAGGGGCCCAAATACTTGGGCTATCTGCTGCTGCTTTCCTAGCACATTAGCAGGGGCTGGATCATAAGTAGAGCAACCAGGACTGGAACCAGCACCCATATGGGATGCTGGCATTGAAGGCAGCAGCTTAACCTGTTATGCCACAGCGCTGGCCCCTTGAATTACTTTTTATTCCATTAGATTATATCCTACTTGTTGGCAGAGACCTTTTCTTTTAGATTTTTTAATCTTCTTTGAAAGGCAGAGATAGAGGGAGAGAAAAAGAGATATCTATTTGATGGTTCACTCCCCAGTGATAGATGTAGCTGGGCCAGATGAAAGCCAGGAACCAGGAGCTTCTCCTGGGTCTCCCACATGGGTACAGCGGCCCAAGTACTCGGGCCATCTTTTGCTGCTTTCCCAGGAGCATTAGCAGGGAGCTAGACTGGAAATTGGATTGAACCGGCTCCCATATGGGATGCTGGCACTACAGGTAGAGGCTTACCCTGCTACACCACAGCGCTAGCCCCACCCGGAACAGACATTTTCAAATTACCTACATGGGTTTGCCTTAGACATTACGTGGAAGGGACCTTAGACTTTTTCTTTTTTGTCTAAAAATAGGCTACTAAGGCGCATATAAAACTCAACACAAAGAAGCTTTACCAGGCCGATGGGTATGCAGTGAAGGAGTTGCTGAAGGTTACGTCCGTGCTTTATAATGCTATGAAGACGAAAGGGATGGAGGGCTCTAAGCCAGGAGAGGAAGACGTCAGCAAGTTCAAGTTTGATCTTGCCTCCAAGGTGAGGGCGACGGAAGGCTTGCGTGGACGGACAGAAGATTCCTTCCTCCGCCTCTTCCTCAGGGCACCGCCGCTTCTTCCTGTGGTCTGAGGGCCGCTTGCCAGCTAGAGCCGTCAGCGTTTATACAGAAGCGCGGCTGCAGGGATGAACGCGATTACTGAAGGCCTGGTGTTTCCAGCCAGGCGTGGGCGGAGGGGACTGGGTCCTGTGTCCCCAGTGCTCTGCGGGGGCGGCAGGCTGAGCAGTGGTGCTGAGTGTGCGTGCACAAGTCCGGCAGCGTCAGAGCCGTGGCGAGCGGCAAGGCAGTGCCAGGCGCTCGGGAGGGCTGGGGCCCCGGTGGCGTTCAGCAGAGATCTGAGGGGGCGCAGTGGGCCGTGCAGGCGGGTGGGGCTGAGCAGTCCGTGCTGAGAATTGCTCTGTAGTTCTGAGGAAGAGCAAGGGAGCTGTGTGATGAGGGCCAGAAGGGAAGGCCGTGGCAGGCCTTCGGCACCTGGAAAGCCTTGGACTTACTCTGAAGACAGACGTACGTGCCTGGAATCCCTACTGAAAGCCGCACTGCGGCCGCCTGGTTTGCTGTCAGACCATGGGAGGAGGCCGTTTAGGAAGCAGCAGATGCCAGGGACTCTGGGCAGAGAGGGCGTGGGGAGGCCGAGGGCAGGAGCTGTCTGGTGTGGAGGCGCGGAGGCCACAGGCAAAGTGAAGGCTCCGTCGCTGGGCACTTGCCATAATGGTGAGTCGGGTGGGTGTGTGCAGACACGGAGGCCTGTCTGTCGAAGGAGCTGCTAGCCGGAGGCCAAAGCAGGTGTGTTGTTTTTTTTTTGTTTTTTTAAGATTTATTATTTGGCCGGCGCCGCGGCTCAACAGGCTAATCCTCCGCCTGTGGCGCCGGCACACCGGATTCTAGTCCTGGTTGGGGTGCTAGATTCTGTCCCGGTTGCCCCTCTTCCAGGCCAGCTCTCTGCTGTGGCCAGGGAGTGCAGTGGAGGATGGCCCAAGTGCTTGGGCCCTGCACCCACGTGGGAGACCAGGAGAAGCACCTGGCTCCTGCCATCGGATCAGCGCGGTGCACCGGCCGCAGTGTGCCAGCCGCGGTGGCCATTGGAGGGTGAACCAACGGCAAAGGAAGACCTTTCTTTCTCTCTCTTTCTCTCTCTCTCTCACTGTCCACTCTGCCTGTCCAAAAAAAAAAAAAAAAAAAAAAGATTTATTATTTATTTGAAAGGCAGAGTTAAAAAGAAGAAGAGGCAGAGAGAGAGGGAGAGAGAGAGAGAGATCTTCCATCCACTGGTCCACTCCCCAGATGGCCACTGCCTGTCTGAAGCCAGGAGCTTCTTCTGGGTCTCCCACGCAGGTGCAGGGGCCCAAGCACTTGGGCCACTGCTTTCCCAGGCCAGAGCAGAGAGCTGGATTGGAAGTGCAGCAGCTGGGACTTGAACTGGCGCCCGTATGGATGCCGGCGCTGCAGGTGGCAGCTTTACCTGCTATGCCACAGCCCTGGTCCCTGTAGTAGTTTTTGTCCTGTGAGGTGCAGGGAAGCACTGGGAGTGGAAAAGCCCTGGCTGCAGAACTGGGATCAGGAAGGGGTCCTCAAGGCTGCCCCGCCCATCTGGAGACCTCCGTGCAGAGCTGCAGCCCTGGCTGCAGAACTGGGATCAGGAAGGGGTCCTCAAGGCTGCCCCGCCCATCTGGAGACCTCAGTGCGTAGCTCAGGTCTAAGGTACCTTGCCAGGAGTACATCCGCTGGTTCGCTCCCCAAGTGGCCGCAGCAGTGGAGCTGGGCCAATCCAAAGCCAGGGGCCAGGAGCTTCTTCTGGGTCTCCCACGTGGATGCAGGGGCCCAAGCATTTGGGCCATCTTCCACTGCTTTCCCAGGCCATAAGCAGGGAGCCAGATGGGAAGTGGAGCAGCTGGTACCTGAACAGGCACTCGTATGGGATGCCAGACCCATAGGTGGTGGCTTAGCCTGCTACGTCACAGTGCCAGCCCTGGAACCTGAGTTCTTGACATGGCTGTCATCGGAGGCCGCGGTACCCTAGCTGGGCCCTTGTTGTGTGGAGATGGCAGCTTCCCCATGAGGGATGACGGGTAAATCTTGTAATCACCTGATGTTGGGTGTGAGCGCCAGGCTCTCACTGGAGTAATTAGCCATACGAAGGAGTGGGGGACGCCCAGCCCTTATGAGGCCTGTGAAGTCATTTGATCTGGCCCTGCCAAGGCAAGAGCAGGCAGGACTCATACTTCAATAAATCTATAGCAGGCTAATTTGTACTTGATAATTTAAAAAATTTTTTTAGATTTATTTATTTACATAGAGAAGGAAAGGAAGAGAGAGAGAGGGAGGGAGGGAAGATGGGTGGGTAGGTGGGAGGGAGGGAGGGGTCTTCCATCCACTGGTTGACTCTCCAATGGCCGCAATGGCCAGCACTGCGCTGATCTGAAGCCAGGAGCCAGGAAATTCTTCCAGGTCTCCCACGTGGGTGCAGAGGCCCAAGAACTTGGGCCATGTTCTACTGCTTTCCCAGGGCATAGCAGAGAGTTGGATTGGAAGTGGAGTAGCCAGGACTCAAACCAGCACCCATAAGGGATGCCGGCACTGCAAGTGGTGGCTTCACCTGCTACGCCACAGCACAGGCCCCTGATTTATTTATTTATTTATTTGAAAGTTGGAGTTACGGCCGGCGCCGCGGCTCACTAGGCTAATCCTCCGCCTAGCGGCGCCGGCACACCAGGTTCTAGTCCCGGTCGGGGCGCCGGATTCTGTCCCGGTTGCCCTTCTTCCAGGCCAGCTCTCTGCTGTGGCCAGGGAGTGCAGTGGAGGATGGCCCAGGTGCTTGGGCCCTGCACCCCATGGGAGACCAGGAAAAGCACCTGGCTCCTGGCTCCTGCCATCGGATCAGCGCGGTGCGCCGGCCGCAGCACGCCGGCCGTGGCGGCCATTGGAGGGTGAACCAACGGCAAAGGAAGACCTTTCTCTCTGTCTCTCTCTCTCACTGTCTACTCTGCCTGTCAAAAAAAAAAAAAAAAAAAAAAAGTTGGAGTTACACAAAGAGAAGGAGAGGCAAAGAGAGAGAGAGAGGTCTTCCATCCACTGGTTCACTCCCCAGACGCCTTGATGGGGAAGCCGTGAGGTAGAGGAGTGTGACGGAGCTGTGACCTGCTCCACTGCTGAGAGTGGGCAAAGAGGAGAGTGCTGCAGAGGCGAGGGGGGAAAGCCGGGGCTAGGGAGCGTCTTGGGGCCGGGCGGGGGGAAGCTGGAGCTGGGGACTAAGGAGATGAGAAGGAAGCTGCCGTGAAGGGAGAGTTGCCGCTGGATTGGACGGAGGGAATTAGTGGGCGGGGCGGGGCGGGGCACGGTTCTGTTTTGGCTCTTTGCAAAGGTGGGCACGTTCAAGGAGGAGTGGGAGTGGCACGTCCTGAGAAGGCTGTGCGCAGGGCCAGGTCCAGAGTCGCCATCTTGCTGCAGTAGCTCCCCCCGTGCGAGCCTGGGCTGCCTGGCGGTGCTGAGTGGTTGCCCCACGGCCTCACAGCAGCCCCGTGAGGAGAGGGAGAGGAAGCTAACAAGAGACCTCCGGGGTGCTGCCGTCAGGCGTATGCCCTCAGTTTGCCCTGTCCTTTGGTCACCCCACCACTTTTGGGGGGCTTACTGTAACCTCAAATAGGAAGCATGTCCGCTTTCTCCCTCCTTCAAAAAGTTTATGGAAAATTGACATCACCTTTTCAGTCCTCTTTCCGCTCTGAAGACTCCCTGTACCTCCTGGGCGTGGATCCAGCTTGCCTTGACGTTGGATTCTCAGTCGGGGGTCCTGGAAGTGGCCCCACTCGTGCTCGGCTCAGTGTGTTCTGAGCAGCCATCCTGGGGCGCTCTTCTGTGCCTGGTGGGCATGCGCCCTGTGAGCCAGCATCCACTCGCAGGTGGCAGTTGTGCTAACAGACTGGTTGTGACTGTCCTTTGGGATCCCTCACTGAGGCTTGTGTTTGGCATTTCCCTTCCAGGTGGCAGACTTGAAAGCAGCCAGGCAGCTTGCTTCTGAAATCACCTCCAGAGGAGCGTCTCTGTACGACTTGCTGGGCAAGGAGGTCGAGCTCAGGGTGAGCAGCGCTGAGCGGCTTCCGTCGCCGGGCACAGCTCCTCGTCGCTTCTGTTTCTCCCTTTTCAGCTCCCTTGGTTTCCTTCGCGCGTGTGTGATTACATACTACGTGGGAGACTGGTATAGTCCTGCCGCTGGCACGCACTGGTCGGGGGTGGCGGGTCCGGGCGTGTGGCTGCGCCCGTGCCACCTGTGCTGCCCCTGGTGCTTTTCCTCATGACCTCCTCGGCCTCAGCCTCCTCCTTGACAGATGCCCAGCTGAGCCCATGCACCCAGCCCTTGCTGCCCAGTGGTCTCACCTGGGGATCTTTAAGTACTCCTGAAGCCTGACTTTGGTTGTCGTTGGTGTGACCTGGGCATTGGGAGTTTCCGAAGTCTCTGGACAGCAAAGTCTGGGATCAGTGATTGGCAGCGCTCCCAGTGAGCCGCAGTGGATACGACCTTGGAAGCTGGGCTGCAGTCCTTATTCTGTCCGCTGCCGTTAAGCAGCTGTTGAGGAGTGGGTTCTCCACTGCTGAGTGTTAGACCCCTACCAGTGGTCGGCCGGTCTGGGCCAGAGAACCCGGCATCAGGATTTAAACGTCTCCAGGTGATTCCAGCACACAGCGGAGTTTGGGAATCACAATTTAGGAAGAAACGGAGTAATGCCGAGTCCTTACCTGTGAGACCGATGGCACTGGAGCCTGCAGTCTGGGACTGACATGAAGCTTTTCCCTCACTTGCCCTCGGGTGTGCCGCCATTGCCCGTGACCTCTCGGTGTTGCCTGGGTTCTGGCAGCTCTGGTACAGGGCGATGTTTTCCTCCTGCCCCAGAAACACTGAAAGAGGAAGTCTGGGTGCCAGGTCACCACACCTCCTCATCCTGTGTTGGCCTCATGGTTGCTACCTCGTGAAGTGTGGTTGGCAGAACCAAGGTGCCGCTGAAGTCCATGAGCTGATGCAGGTGACTAGTGAGGCGAGGCGGGGCTTTCCGTGGTTTCTGTTTATAGTGCAGTAGTGTATTGTGGGTATGCATGTTCCTAAGAGACCGGAGATAGGAGGGAGACACTTGCGCCCTGTCAGTGGAGCCAAGGCGTCCTGTGAGGCTTCCCAGCAGCCCCGGGGATCTCTGAAGGGAGCACCTCTCAAGTCTGGGTACAGGCACGGTCGGAGGCGGAGCCAGCCCAGGGTCTGAGTTCATGGGCTCAGTAAGCAGTTTCTGAGTAGCAGCAGCCAAGGCAAGCAGCGAGCTCTCCCGCTTCGGGTAGAGGGCAGTCCCTGCTTGCAGTGTTTCCCAGTGGGGAGATGAGCTGAGCCCCTCAGTAAAGGAAGCCTAAGACCGAGTTTGGTGGAGTGCCCAGGAACCGTGTCTTAGTCGCGTGGGCTGCTGCATGGCATCCACTAACCTGGGGGTGTATGAACAACACATGTTTGTTCCTCACTGTTCTGGAGAGTGGAGATTCTGCATCAGCACCCCAGCAGACTTGATACCTGGCGAGAGTGCTCCTCTTGTGCGGGGCCTTCCTGCTGCTGCTCACGTGCAAGAAGGGGCACAGAAGCTCGTGAGGGTCCCTTACCAGGGCACTACCCTGTTCCTCAGTGTACCACCCTCAGGACCTCACCTCCTGGTACCATCACAGTGTGAGTTAGGGTTTCAGCACGGGGACTGGGGAGGTGTAGCAAACTTTGTAGCTCAGCCTCGTGAGGTACCCAGGACTGCCATTAGTCACAGATGCCTGCCTTGATCAGCTAACGGTTAAAGCCAGGGTTGGGCCAAGGTGACCGTTCTCACGCTGCACTTGCCAATGATAGGCTCCGGAGAGTGACTTAGTCACCAGAAAGGCCGTGGAGGCCGGCAGGGCTGCAGGCAGCAGGTGCAGGTGCAGGTGCAGAAGCAGTGTGTGAGAGAGGGGGACAGTGAGGGGCTGAGACAGCAGGAGCAGGTGCAGGAGCAGGTGTGAGAGAGAGAGGGGACAGTGAGGGGCTGACAGCAGGTGCAGGAGCAGGTGTGAGAGAGAGAGAGGGGACAGTGAGGGGCTGAGACAGCAGGTGCAGGTGTGAGAGAGAGAGGACAGTGAGGGGCTGACAGCAGGTGCAGGTGTGAGAGAGAGGGGACAGTGAGGGGCTGAGACAGCAGGAGCAGGTGTGAGAGAGAGAGGGGACAGTGAGGGGCTGAGACAGCAGGTGCAGGTGCAGAAGCAGGTGTGAGAGAGAGAGGGGACAGTGAGGGGCTGAGACAGGTGCAGGTGCAGAAGCAGGTGTGAGAGAGAGAGGGGACAGTGAGGGGCTGAGACAGCAGGTGCAGAAGCAGGTGTGAGAGAGAGGGGACAGTGAGGGGCTGAGACAGCAGGTGCAGGTGCAGGTGTGAGAGAGAGAGGGGACAGTGAGGGGCTGAGACAGCAGGTGCAGGTGAAAGAGAGAGGGGACAGTGAGGGGCTGAGACAGCAGGTGCAGGTGCAGGTGTGAGAGAGAGAGGGGACAGTGAGGGGCTGACAGCAGGTGCAGGAGCAGGTGTGAGAGAGAGAGGGGACAGTGAGGGGCTGAGACAGCAGGTGCAGGTGCAGGTGTGAGAGAGAGAGGGGACAGTGAGGGGCTGAGACAGCAGGAGCAGAAGCAGGTGTGAGAGAGAGAGGGGACAGTGAGGGGCTGAGACAGCAGGTGCAGGAGCAGGTGTGAGAGAGAGAGGGGACAGTGAGGGGCTGAGACAGCAGGTGCAGGTGCAGAAGCAGGTGTGAGAGAGAGAGGGGACAGTGAGGGGCTGAGACAGCAGGTGCATGTGCAGGTGTGAGAGAGAGAGGGGACAGTGAGGGGCTGAGACAGCAGGTGCAGGTGCAGGTGTGAGAGAGAGAGGGGACAGTGAGGGGCTGAGACAGCAGGTGCAGGAGCAGGTGTGAGAGAGAGAGGGGACAGTGAGGGGCTGAGACAGCAGGAGCAGGTGTGAGAGAGGGGACAGTGAGGGGCTGATAGCAGGTGCAGGTGCAGGTGTGAGAGAGAGAGGGGACAGTGAGGGGCTGAGACAGCAGGTGCAGGAGCAGGTGTGAGAGAGAGAGGGGACAGTGAGGGGCTGAGACGGCAGGTGCAGGAGCAGGTGTGAGAGAGGGGAACAGTGAGGGGCTGACAGCAGGTGCAGGTACAGGTGTGAGAGAGAGAGGGGACTGTGAGGGGCTGAGACAGCGTGTGCATGTGCAGGAGCAAGAGTGATAGAGAAAGGGGACTGTGAGTTTGCTGGTCCAGTAGGTGCGGGAGTGAGAGAGAGAGGGGAACGGTGCTGAGTTTACGTTCACTCACGGAGTTAGAGACATGTCCAGGAAGGCACTCGGATCCCAGAGGGCATTTGAGGGAGGAGACGCTGGGGGTGTTTGGCATCAGAGACCCACGTTCTAGTGAAACTTGTGAGAATCATTCCATTAGTCATGTCTAGATCTAAAAATGCTGGGTTTGAAACAATTTTTGTGAAAATATACGGAGATTATTTTATTGTTTCTCCTAGGAACTGAGAACAGAAGCCATTGCAAGACCTCTGGAAATCAATGAGACTGAAAAAGTGATGAGAATTGCAATAAAAGAGATCTTGGTAAGATTACTCTCCTTTTATTTATTCGAAAGGCAGAGTTAGAGAAAGGGAGAGACAGAGAGAGAGATCTTCCATCCACTGCTTCACTCCCCAAATGGCTGTAGCCATCAGGGCTTTGCTAGGCTGAAGCCAGGCGCCAGGAGCCTCATCTGGGTCTCCCTTGTGGGTGCAGAGGCCCAAGGACTTAGGACATCTGCTGCTGCTGCTCTCCCAGGCCATTAGCAGGGAGCTGGACTTCAGATTGGCACTGCTCTGGCCACTGCAGCCATCTGTAGCAAACCAGCAGACGGAGGAACTCTGTCTGCCTCTGCCTCTCTAACTCTGCCTTTCAAATAAATAAAGAGATTTCTTTTTAAAAGGGAGCTGGATTGGAAGTGGAGCAGTTGTGAGTTGAACAAGCACTCATATGGGATGCTGGCATTGCAAAAGGTAGCTTAATGTGCTGTGCCACAACACCAGCCCCTATTTATATTTTTATGCTTGGGACTCAAAATACCAATTTCCTACCTGTGCAATATGTAGCAAACTAGACCTGGTAACAAGAAATGTATTAGTGGGGAAATGCAGAATTTAGAGAATGTTTAAGGTTACCTGACTTGTTTTCTGCTGTTGTTTTTTTTTCCTCATTATAACTAATAGTTTCTCAAAAATTATTTTATTTATTTGAAAGTCAGAGAGAGAAGGAGAGGCAGAGAGAGCTTCCGTTGGTTCACTCCTCAAATGACTGCAACAGCCAGAGCTGAGCTGATCCAAAGCCAGGAGCCAGGAGCTTCTTCCTGGTCTCCCATGCAGGTGCAGGGGCCGAAGCACTTGGACCATCCTCCACTGCCCTCCCAGGCCACAGCAGAGCTGGACTGGAAGAGGAGCAACTGGGACTAGAACCCGGCACCCATATGGGATGCCGGTGCCGCAGGTGGAGGATTAACCAAGTGAGCCACAGCACTGGTCCCAGCACTAACATGTTAATAGTAATACACCCCAGAGGCTTGTACTGTGGGGCAGTGGGTTAAAGCCCCATCCCATAGGGTGCCGGTTCGAGTCCTGGGTGCTCCTATTCTGATCCAGCTCTCTGCTATGGCCTGGGAAAGCAGTAGAAGATGGCCCAAGTCCTTAGGCCCCTGCACCTGCGTGGGAGACCTGGAAGAAGCTCCTGGCTCCTGGTATCAAATCAGCTCAGCTCTGGCCGTTGTAGTCATTTGGAGAGTGAACCAGCGGACTGAAGTCATCTCTCTCTCTTCTGGCTCTACCTCTCTCTAACTGTTTTTCAAATAAATAAAATAATTCTTAAAAAAAAAAAAAAAGAGTAGAACACCCCAAAGAGGGCACAGTTAATTTCTTGGAGGACACCTCTTAAGTAATCTCGCTGTTGGGAAATACCTGTGATACTTAGAATGAGTTAGGAAGTATACGTCATTTATTTCAGAAAACCAGGAAGAATGTTTGTACTTACACATTGATCTCTGTCATGTGATGAACAGCTGTCTTTAAAAGATCATTTGTATTTTTAAGGTCAAATCAATCAAAATGGGTTTTAATCTGAGTCAGAGAAATAGTTGCCTTTGACTTGAGCTGTTCAGAAAGAAGGCTGCCTTTGCTGCCGCGAGGGTGAGCACTTGTCCCCACCGCAGCCTCTGGGCAGTGGTGGGTGCTTCGTGGCACGGCTTTCTCAGCAGTGGCCAGTGATGGTCAGACCAAAGCAGTGAAACAGCACGTTGCCTTGTGGACCTGCAGGTCAGCAGTCGGAAACCTTTGTGGGCGCTGCCACCTATGCCCTCGGGCACCTCATGCAGGGACAGAAGTCAGCACGTGGGGACGCAGTTCCATATCCAGCTGGGCTCCCAGCGCAGCAGATGGGAACTCGGAGTTCTCAGGCGCTGACCCAGCCAGCCTCCCTAACGACACCAGCGGGAAGATGCTGATGTTCGCACTGATACACTTGTTTCACGTGAGCTCTAACAGGGCACAGAGAAGTCTGTCGTTATCGGCAGTGGTCCCCTTCCTCTCTGCTCAGCCCTGCTGCCCCAGGGCACCTGTCCCACCACTGCCCAGACCCCTGTGGCCAGGCTTGGCCACTGCCTTCACTAGCAGAGTGGCTTCTGTTGCCAGCATGAGGGCAGAGGAACCTTCGCACTCAGTCCCGACAGGAGCGGGTTAGGGCTGAGCCCAGCTCATGTTTCTTTTTTGCCGTCTTGTAAGTAAAGCCACACTTTCGTGTGCATGTGTTCTGAAAGTGGATATTTCTAGCCAGGGGAGCAGTCTGAATGGTGTCAAGGGCAAGTAAGTGTTCAAAGAGAGGTGTCTCCAGTCCCCTAAAGGTGAGCTCGGCAGATCGCAGGCCTCTGTTTTGGGCTGTGTCCCCGGGCAGAAACACCCACTTTTCATGAGAAGAAGAAAAAAAAAGGATTTTTCCCTTGAGTCTCTCTGACTTCCCCCTAGAAATAGTTACGTGAGTCATTTTTGTTTGTTCGCTGCATGATGTTGATGGCTGAGTTGAAAAGCTCCCCTCTTGCAGGAGTCAGGGTGGCAGTCCTCACTGGCTCCTTGTCTCCTTGTCTCCTATCTTACACAGGTGCAAGTTCAGAAGACAAATGACCTGCTCAATAACGTTGCCTCTGATGAAGCTAATTTAGAAGCCAAAATTGAAAAAAGAAAATTAGAACTGGAAAGAAACCGGAAGCGTCTCCAGAGCCTGCAGAGTGTCAGGTATGAAGCCAGAGGACTGAGTAGAAAGAGGTCTTCGAAGTTAGAACAGTAACTGCGGTTGATAGCAGTTCATTGACTATTCCAGAAGAGCTGGTAGAGGGGATTTTGAATAGTCCTGATATAAAGAAAGGGTGAATGTCTGAGGTGACATGTATGCCATTTGCCCTGATCATGAAACATTATATACATGTAATAGACTGTCAGTGTACTGCAAAAATATGTACAATTACTATGTGTCAATTTTTAAAAAATAGTTTAAAAATAAATTGTAAGAAAGTAAGTTGGGGCTGGTGTTGGAGCATAGTATGCTAAGCCTCCACCTGTGGCACCAGTGTCCCATTTGGGCGCCATTTCATGTGTGGGCTGCACTTCTTCTGATCCAGCTCCCTGCACATGGCCTGGGAAAGCAGTAGCAGATGGCTCAAGTGCTTGGGCCCCTGCACGTTTGTGGGAGACCTGGAAGAAACTCCTGGCTTCTGACTGGCCCAACTCTTGATGGCATTTGAGGGGTGAACCAGAGGATAGAAGACCTTTCTCTGTGTCTCTCCCTCTGTCTGTAACTGTAACTCAGCCTCTCAAGTAAATAAATAAAAAAATCTTAAATAAGGCAGTTAGGGGAGGCATTTGTCCTAGCAGTTAAGACATTGGGATAAGGGGCTGGCACTGTGGTGCAGCGGGCTAAAGCTGCGGCCTGCAGCATCGGCATCCCATATGGGTTCCAGTTTGAGTCCCAGTTGCTCCACTTCCGATCCAGCTCTCTGCTATGGCCTGGGAAAGCAGTGGAAGATGGCCCAAGTCCTTGGGCCCCTACACCCATGTGGGAGACCAGGAAGACGCTCCTGGCTCCTGGTTTCAGATCAGCTCAGCTCTGGCCATTGCGGTCATTTGGGGAGTGAACCAGCAGGTAGAAGACCCCCCCCCCCCCCAATCTGGATCTACCTCTCACTGCTCTCACTGTAACTCTTTCAAATAAATAAAATCAGAAGAAAAAAAAAAGACATTGGGATAAGACACCTGCACCCCATATCTGATGGCCTGGGTTCAGTATCTATTTTGGGCTCCAGATTTGAACTTTCTGCTAGTGTAGACCCTGAGAGGCAGCAGTAATGGCTCAAGTAGTTGGATTCCTGCCACCCAGGTGAGAGACTTGAATTTAGTTCCCAGCTTCAGCCCAACCCTGGCCATTGCGGCCATCTGGGGAGTGAACCAGCAGCTAGGGGCTATCTCTCTGTCTCCATCTTTCATTATCTCTGCTTCTCAAATAAAGTGAAGGTACATTGTGGTACAGCAGGTTAAGTTACTGTTTTTGACAACAGCATCCCAGTTTGAATCCTGCCTGCTCTGCTTCTGATCCAGCTCTCTGCTGTGGCCTGGGAAAGCAGTGGAAGACGTCCCAAGGACTTGGGCCCCTGCCCCCTGGGGAGACCTGGAGGAGTTCTGGGCTCCTGGCTGACCTGGCCTAGTCCAGGCGTTGTGGCCGTTTGGGAAATGAGTCATGGATGAAGCTTCTCTCCCTTTCTCTCTGTTTTGGTCTCTCTCTCTCCCCCCTTCTCTGTCACTCTGACTTTCAAGTAAATAAATAAATGTTTTAAAAACTTGAATTAGGCCAGCGCTGCAGCTCACTAGGCTAATCCTCCACTTGCGGCGCCGGCACACCAGGTTCTAGTCCCGGTCAGGGCGCCGGATTCTGTCCCAGTTGCTCCTCTTCCAGTCCAGCTCTCTGCTGTGGCCCAAGTGCTTGGGCCCTACAACTGCATGGGAGACCAGGAGAAGCACCTGGCTCTTGGCTTCAGATCAGCGCGGTACGCCTGCCGCAGCCATTGTGGGGTAAACCAACGGAAAAGGAAGACCTTTCTCTCTGTCTCTCTCTCTCTCACTGTCCACTCTGCCTGTCAAAAAAAAAAACCCAAAAAACAAAACGAAACACCTTGAATTAAAGGAAGGACAAAGAGTGAGGGATTAGAAGGTGATACTAACTCCTCGAGCAGTGAGGAAGCCTACATAAGCCATCCATTGTTTGGGAACACGTATGTGTTGCTTGCTCCACTGAGCAGACTGCCAAACTCTTCTCTTTCTTGCTTTTAATCTGTATGGAAACTGCTTAATTCTTTAAGCTTTTTAACTTCTTGGAATGCAAGCCAAAGTAATCTAGATGTTCTCCAAAGATCTTGCCATAAATAAGTGGAGATGGAAATTTACTCCCATCTCTTAGTTTGAGTAGATTCTAGATTTTGATAACTCCTCACCGGTCAGTTCATGTTGCTAGTGACTCCACCTCGTTGGAAGTACATTTTCAGGGAATATGGATGGATCATAGTGGTACAAAACACCTAGATCAATGGAGTCTTTTGAAAAAAAAATTTATTTGTTCATTTATTTGAAAAACAGAGTGGGAGCAGGTAGGAAGATTGATCTTCTGTCCACTGGTTCACTCCCCAGTGACCACAGCAGTCAGGAGCCAGGAGCCAGGAGCTCCATCCTGGTCTCCCATATGGGTGGCAGGGGCCCAAGTACCTGTGCCATCTTCTGCCTTCCCAGGCATATCAGCAGGGAGCTCTACTGGAAGCAGTGCTCCAGTGTGGAATGCTGCTGAGGCCGCAGACAGCAGCTTGACTTGCTATACCACAACGCCGGCACCAAGTAGAGCCTTTGTAAAAATTATTTATGTATTTATTTGAGAAAGGGAGGGAGAGAGAAAGGTCTTCATCCACTGGTTCACGCCTCAAATGGCTGCAACGGCTGGAGCTGAGCCAATTGGAAGCCAGGAGCTTCTTCCGGGTCTCCTGTGCCAGTGTTGGGGCCCGGCCACTTGGGCCATCTTCCACTGCTTTCCCAGGAAATGAGCAGAGGGCTGGATCTGAAGAGGAGCAGCCAGGACATGGACCCGTGTCTACATAGAATGCTGGTACCACAGGTGGAGGCTTAGCCTACTATGCCACAGCGCCAGCCCCAGTCTGTCTGAAATCTCTGCTATGGCCTGGGAAAGCAGTTAAAGATGGTCCAAGTCCTTGGGCCCCTGCACCCATGTGGGAGACCCGAAAGAAGCTCCTTGCTTTGTATCAGCTCAGCCCTGGCCATTGTTTCCATTTGGGGAGTGAACCAGTACATGGAAGATTGACATTCATTCATTCATTCATTCATTCTCTCTCTCTCTCTCTCTCTCTCTCTTTGCCGTTACCTCTCTTTGAAATAAATAAAATTTAAAAAAATAAGATACACATGAATTTTATGTTTAGACTTGGGTATTATCCCAAAGAAATCTCGTTGTGTCTGCAAATATTCCAAAATTCACAGAAATCCAAAATCTGAAACACCTCTGGTCCCAAGCCTTGTGGATAAGGGATAACTTGCAGTGCATATATTAGTTCAGGATTTTGAGAGGTGTGTGTGGTGTATGTTTATTTATTTATTGAAATATAATGTATAGAAACAAAAAAGTAGTATAAAATTTCATTTATGGTAACATATTTCATCTTTAATAGAAGGTTGAATTCCTGCCTGTGTGCACAGAAATGTTTGGAAAAATGTATGTATGTCAGATACCAAGTGCTCATACCTGATGCTGGGATTCTGAGTGATTTTACTTTCAAGATTATTTCAGTTTTTTATAAAGAGCACACCTGATTTGTGATTTTATTTTATTTTATTAAAGATTTATTTATTTATTTGAGAGGCAAAATTAGAGAGGGGGAGAGAGAGAGGGAGAGAGGGACAGAGAGAGAGGGGGAGAGAGGGACAGAGGGAGAGAGAGGGAGGGAGAGAGGGGAGGGGGGAGAGAGAGAGGGAAGGAGAGACAGGGAGAGAGAGGGAGGGAGGGAGAGGAGAGGCAGAAAGAGAGGGAGGGGGGAGGGAGAGAGAGAGGGAGGAGGGAGAGGGGAGGAGGGAGGGAGAGAGAGGGAGAGAGAGGGAGAGAGAGGTCTTCCATCCTGTGGTTGCTCGCAGTGACTTAAGCTGCGCTGATCCGAAGCCAGGAGCCAGGAGTTCTTCTGGGTCTCCCATGCGGGTGCAGGGGCCCAAGCCTTTGGCCATCTTCCACTGCTTGCCCAGGTCATAGCAGAGAGTTGGATTGAAGTAGAGCAGGCGGGACTCAAACCGGCACCCATATGGGATGCCAGCACCGCAGGCGGAGGCTTTACCTGCTACACCACAGCGCTGGTCCCTTATTTGTGATTTTAAAAGAAGCACCATTTAAAGGAGAAGATAAAAAAGGAAGTGAAATTCAGGCGGTGACGGGTGGAGGCACTTTCCTAGTTAACCTGTCCGAAGAAAGCTGTGACAGAGTGGGGTTCCGGACGTGGGGGACTGCCGCGTGTCAGTAACCTTTCCCTTTTTACCTCACTTTCTCACGTTAGGCCTGCCTTTATGGATGAGTATGAGAAGATTGAGGAAGAATTGCAAAAGCAGTATGACATTTATCTCGAGAAGTTTCGCAATTTAGCTTACCTGGAACAGCAGCTTGAAGACCACCATAGGATGGAGCAGGAGAGGTTCGAGGCAAGTGCTCAGTCTCCTGTGCGGCCCCTTCCTTCTGCTGCTATTTTGTACTTGGTGACATCCGTTTGTAAATATTGTGGAAAACAAATCGAAGGATGCTTTGTTCACCCTGGTTAGTCGGAGGATTGTTTTGCTGGGCTGCCGAGTTGAGTCTGTGATGTTAGGTCATCAGGGTGTTGTGAAGCAGGAACACAAGCTGACTCCTGGGCTGTGCGGTCACACAGTCTGCTCTTGGAGGGACCCAGGCGTTTGTGCTCGCTGCCGCCATCTTGAAATTCAGAAGAACCATTCAGTGAATTTTATTATGTACCAGTCCCCACAAATTATGTGGCTAGTTTTGAGTATAGATCTGAAAACTTGCTTGGTTGGCTCACTGAAGATTTTCAAGCCGTGGTTATTGAGTCACCCAAGCCAGTTCATTGGAGACTGTTTATAAAGAGGAATGGAGGTTTCCTAACTGGAGAGTGAGTGTGTGTGATCCAGAACCCGCCCGACCAGCTGTTGCACAGGTCCTGTCAGCCCAGAGGGTTTTCCATATCCTAGCATAAGTTGGGAAAAGGAAATGGCAGCGTGTTGTAATCAGTCATTGAGAATCTGTGTTCGTGGTGGAGGTGGCCCTCCATGTCCATCTGTCCCTGATCCTTGACAGCTTTGGGTGCTGCGGTTAAGCTAGCCTTCTTGTAAACCTTAGCATTTGAATGAGGTGAAGTCGGTTTGTTGTCCAGGGGCTGCCTGGAAGTAACTGATGCATGTACCTGGGCTACCTGATGAGAAACTGGTTGCCACCAGTGCGTATGGCAGAGAGGCAGCAGTGGAGGCACTGGGTGTAGGACAGCCACATTTTGATGCTATTGAAAGGAGCTTGGGGGCTGGCATTGTGGCGTAGAGGGTAAAGCCACAGCCTATGACACTGGCATCCCATATGGGTGCCAATTTGAGGCCCAACTGCTCCACTTCCGATCCAGTTCCCTGTTATGCTGGGAAAGCAGCGGAGGATGGCCCAAGTCCCTGGGCCCCTAACGTCCACGTGGGAGACCTGGAAGGAACTCCTGGTTCCTGGCTTTGTCCTGGCCCAGGTTTAGTTGCAGTCATTTGGGGAGTAAACCAGCAGATGGAAGACTACTCTTTATCTCTTTCTGTCTCTCCCTCTCTCTAACTCTGACTTTCAAATAAATAAATATTTTTTAAAAAGAAAGAAAAAAAGGAACCTGGAGCTGAAGAAAGAGCTGTAAAGGGCCAGTGAAAATAAACTTTGGCATTGTTCTTTTTTTTTTTTAAAGATTTATTTTTATTTATTTGAAAGTCAGTGTTACACAGAGAGAGGAGAGGCAGAGAGAGAGGTCTTCCATCCACTGGTTCATTCCCCAGTCGGCTGCAATGGCTGGAGCTGCACCGATCTGAAGCCAGGAGTCAGGAGCTTCTTCCAGGTCTTCCATGCAGGTGCAAGGGCCCCAGGGCTTGGGCCATCTGCTGCTGCTTTCCCAGGCCATAACAGAGAGCTGGATCGGAAGTGGAGCAGCCAGGACTAGAACCAGCGCCCATATGGGATACTGGCGCTTCAGGCCAGGGCATTAACCCGCCGCGCCACAGCACGGCCCCCCCTTTTTAAAGATTTATTTTTATTTATTTGAAAGAGTTACACAGAGAGAGGAGAGGCAGAGAGAGAGGAGCATTGTTCTAACATCTGGGGTCACCCCAGGTACTTCTGAGTGGCCCCTTTATCTCCCCGTTCTTGGACAAGTGTTTCTCCTCTTTTTCTCTGCCTCACTCCTCTCTGCTTATCTTACCTCTGCTCTCAATCATCCATGCCTAAAATGCAGTGCTTTCTTGTCAGGGCAACGACAAAATATTGAAAGCCAATTTCTTCCTTCAGTCCCTCTTTTGATAGTTATCAGGGCTATATTTGAACATTTTAAAAAAGTTTTTTGTTGGAGGGCTAGCATTGTGGTAGCGAGCTAGGCCCATATCAGAGCATTGGGTCTACTGTGTGTCTGATCCAGCTCCCTCCTAACACACCTGGGATTGCAGTAGAGAATGGCTCGAATCCTTGGGCCCTGCTCTCCTCGTGGGTCGCCCAAAGGGAGTTCTAGGCCTGGGAATGCAGCAGAACGTGGCTCAAATACTTGGGCCCTGCTATGCTTGTCGGAGACCCAGAGGGAGTTCTAGGCTTCTGGCTTCCACCTGACTTAGTCCCAGTCATTATAGCCATTTGTGGAGTGAACCGGTGGATGAAAGATGTCTCCTCCCTCCCCATGACTCTGCCTTTCAAATAAATAAATCTTTTTAAAGTTTTTCTTCACATTTTGTACTTGAAAGGCAGAGGCATAGAGACAGCCAGCCAGAGATCTTGTCTCTCTAGTTCTCTCCCCACTGCTTATAACAGCTAGGGCTGGCCCATGCTGGAGCCAGGAGCCCAAAACTCCATCTGCATCTCCCATGAGGGTTGCAAAAACCCAAGAACTTGGGGCATCATCCACTTCCTCCCAGGCACATTAGCCGGAATCTGGGTTGGAAGTGCAGAGTGGCTGGGACTCAGACTAGCACTTATGAGGGATGCCGGCATCTCCGGTGGCAGCTTAACCCACTGCACCACAGTGGCCACCTCATCACTGATTGCATTTTCCCGTGTACTTTTTTAGCTACCCTCAAATTTTTTTCTCTTACCATCCTGGCCTGTGCCACCACTTTCGTGTGTGTTTGCTTGTTTGTTCTTAATTTTTGTTTACTTATTTATTTGAAAAGCAGAATGACAGAAAGAGGGAGAAACGGGATAAAGATTTCCATCAGCTGATCCACTCCCCCAGATGCCTGCAAGGTGAAGCTAAACTGGGAAACCGGGGCAAAGCCGTGAGCCAGGAACTCAATCCAGGTTTCCTGCTTGGGTGGCAGTAACCTGGACTGTCACCTGCTGCCTCCCAGGCATTAGCAGGAAGCTGGATTGGAAGTCCATCCCAAGCATCCCTTAGCCCTCTGTGCCACAACACTTACCACAGTTCAGCATCTTTTGAGACTGGAATTTTGACGTCAACTCAGGATAAAAAAAGAGAAATCCGTGCTTTGTTCTTTTGGGAGCCAGAGGCCTGTCCCTGTCCCATCGTGCGGTGCCTCTGTTGCTGTGTTGGTGTCCCATGCAGATTACATGGTGATCAGGAGCCCCTCCCACAGGCTGCGGGCCCTCCGGGAAGGGCCACGTTCCAGGGCTCCGTGGTAGCTGCTAGTTCTCTTCCCTTCCTTTAGTTTCATTCTTGTCTGGTTCCAAGTCTGAAGCACAACGCAGAAAAATCAGACAGTGTACGACAGGGCTGCCTCTTCTGATGTTGCTGCTTCTCTTCCACAGGAAGCAGAAAACACGCTGCGTCTGATGCAGAGCAAGCTGAAGGAGGAGGAGAGACGGCTGTTCAAGACTGGAGGTCAGGCTGTGCTGTGTGCTGCCCCTCGGAGCTCTTTGTGGGCTCCCCTCGGCAGCCCTGCTCAGAATTCTGACACATACGTTGTACACTGTCTTTTAAAAAGTGTTTTCCTTCAGCATTTTTTTTTATTGTGGCGGGTAAATTTAACATGAAAGCTACTCTCTTGAATTTTTCAATATGTAATTCAATATGTTATACACGATTATTGACTAAAGGTACAAATCCCAGAAGGCAGTTTTCTCATAACTTTTATGTTAGGAACCATTTGAGCTCACTTAAGAGACTGGTTTAAGGGTTAAAATAGCTTTGGTTCTTGTGCTAACTAAAATAGTATTTGCCCTGTTGAGATGATGTACTTCGTTTGAATTATATGTAACTGTAAAAGAGAACTTGTTTGTAGGGTTTTGTGTTTTAGGGCATGCAGGTGGAAAGCAGGTCTTGGAATGAAGTGTGATTGAGGGGCTGGCTTGTCCAGCGATAGTCGTCCTCAACCCCCTGTCAGGCAGACTCGCTCAGCAAGGCACTCGCTGGTAGAGAGGCAGGTACCACCTACATGGAAGGCCTGGGTTCTGGGAAGCAGTGCTGTCTGACTGCCTGGCACTCCACAGCCACAAACTTCACCGGGGTGTGGAGTCGGCAGCGGGAGGCACGTGGTCTTCCAGTGTTGAAGATGCGTACCTGGAGCATCATGCCTGTTTCATATGCACCTGCTCGCTGCCATTTCCTTCTGCAGCTCTCTCCTTTCCTACCTGTTTTTTGGACTGTCTTTTCTGAACTCCAGGAAACTAGGAGGAGGATAAGAATAATTAGTTGGAGGTCAGGCAAGGGAACCGGGAGCAGCCCATGCTTCCTCGGGCCTTGCTCACCAGTCTTTATCCTCTGAGCTCACACTTCAGTTCGGTGTTCTGTAGACCTGGGGTCTCTGTTTTGTAAAGATTTATTTATTTATTTGAAAGGCAGAGTTACAGAGAGAGGGGGCAAGACAGAGAATCTTCTATCTGCGGGTTTACTCCCTAGATGGCCACAATAGCCGGGGCTGGGCCATGGCCAAAGCCAGGAGCCAAAGTACTTGGGCGATCTGCTGCTGCTTTTCTAGGCTTGTTAGCTTGGAGCTGGATTGGAAGTGGAGCAGCTGGGACTCGAACCACCCAGATGCCAGTGTTGCAGACAGCAGCTTAACCCACAGTGCCACAGCGCTGGCCCCAGGCCTGAGGTCTGCTGAAGTTCTAAGATGTTTGGGGTAGTTTTTTCAGAGAAGCAATTTCTGGTTAAGCCCACTTAAATGAAAGGTAGCACTTAATTAGCTGGAGGTAGACAAAGAAGTTAGACAAGTATTTGTAGAGGGCAGTTTTCAGTTCTGCTCACCCAGAAGTTCTTATGAAGCTGTATTCTCTGCCTGTCTGCATATGGGGGAGCCCTGGTCCCAGGCAGAGATACGCAAAGGGAGACACGTGCTTTCTCTGCGTCGGGGAAGGACTCCTCTGAACCGAAGTCTAGTAGCACATGGACATGGGTTACATGCCAGAAGGAGCAAACGCCAAGGAGGGGAGAGGTCACCACGCCCAGTTTGCTCTGCAAGCAGTAGATTCAGTCCATTAAAGTGCTAGTGCCTGGCCTAGGTGCCGAGGGTACCAGAGCGTGTCCGAGTCCATGAGGGTGTGAGAGCGTGTCCGAGTCCATGGGGGTGTGAGAGCGTGTCAGAGGGTCCATGGGGAGTGTAAGAGTGTGTCAGAGGTTCCATGGGGGGGGTGCAAGAGCATGTCAGAGGGTCTGGGGGGGTCAGGCATCGGCCTGGTGTTAGGATGTCCCTGCATTGGAGTGCCTGGGTCGGATTCCCAGCTCTGACTCCCATTTCCTGCTTGCTGCCAGTACATACCCTGGGAGGCAACCATGGCTAAAGTAATTGGGCTGCTGCCACCCATGTGGGAGACATGAGTTCCCAGCTCCTGACTTTGGCCCTGGCATAGCCCCTACCATCATGGGCATTTTCGGAGTGAACCAACAGATGGGAGTATGTTTTCTCTCTCTCTCTCTGCCTCTAAAAAAGCAAACAATTGGACCAGTGTTGGGATGTAGCAGTTTTTTTTGGTTTTGGTTGTCTTTTTTCTTTTTCTTTTCTTTTTTTCCTTTTTTTTTTTTTTTGAAGCTTTATTTGAGATGCAGAGTTACAGAGAGAGATCTTCCATCTGCTGGTTCACTCCTCAGACAGCTGCATCAGCTGGAGCTGGGCTGATCCAAAGCCAGGAACCAGGAGCTTATTCTAGGTTTCCCACATTGGGTACAGGGGCTCAAGCACCTGGGTTATCTTCCACTGCTTTCCCAGGCCGTAAGCAGAGAGCTGGATTGGAAGAGGAGCAGCCAGAACACAAACCGGCATCCATATGCGATGCCGGCGCTGCGTGTAGAAGCTTAACCTACTATACCACAGCACCAGCCCTGGGATGTAGGAGTTTAAGCTGTCACTTCAGAGTGCTTGCTCAAAATCCCAGCTGTTCCACTTCCAATCCAGCTCCCGCTAATGTTCCTGGGAAAGTGGTGGATGATGGCCAAGTACAGGGGCCCCTTCTACCCATGTGGGAAATCCACATGGAGTTCCCTGCTCCTGGCTTCAGCCTGGCCCAGCCATTTGGAGAGTGGACCAGTGGATAAAATATTTCTCTCTGTCTCTCCCCCTCTCTCTCTTCTCTCTCATTGTACCTTTCAAATAAATAAATAAATCTTTAAAAAACAGACATACACAGTCCAAAACAAAGTGAATGCGTTGTTAGGTTAGGCATTTGGCACAGTGGTGAAGTTGCCGCTGGGATGCCCATATTCCATATGGGAATTCCTGGGTTTGGGTCTCGGTCCACTTCCAATTCCAGCCTCTTGTTGATGTGCACCCGGGAGGCAGCAGATGGTGGTTCAAATACTTGGATCCTGCCATTCTTGCGGGAGGCCCAACTGAGTTGCAGGCTCACCAGCCCTGGCTGTTGAAGGCATTTAGGAAGTGAACCAGAGAATAAAAGACTGATCTATGTCTCTGTCTCTTTCTTTTCTCTCTGTCTCTGCCTTCCAAATAAAAATAAAGAAAAAATTTTGTGGAAAGTTGAATTAAAAGATGAGTTTATTTGGAGCAAAAAAAAAAAAATTTAAGCCATGTGCAGTTTTTTCATAATATACATTTTCTGGCCGGCGCCGTGGCTCACTAGGCTAATCCTCCACCTAGCGGCGCCGGCACACCGGGTTCTAGTCCCGGTTGGGGCGCCGGATTCTGTCCCGGTTGCCCCTCTTCCAGGCCAGCTCTCTGCTGTGGCCAGGGAGTGCAGTGGAGGATGGCCCAGGTGCTTGGGCCCTGCACCCCATGGGAGACCAGGAAAAGCACCTGGCTCCTGGCTCCTGCCATCGGATCGGCGCGGTGCGCCGGCCGCAGCGCGCCGGCCGTGGCGGCCATTGGAGGGTGAACCAACGGCAAAGGAAGACCTTTCTCTCTGTCTCTCTCTCTCACTGTCCACTCTGCCTGTCAAAAAAAAAAAAAAAAAATTAAAAAAAAATATGTATATATATACATTTTCTGTGAACTTTTTGAATACCCCTTGGACATTACTGGACAGGCATCCTTGACTTAACCAGTCTTACATTCTCAAGGAGACAAGCGATAAGCAAAGCTGCATGTAGGTTGGAAGGTGAAACATGCTGTGGGGGAAGTGGAGCAGGTGTGGGGGCTGCTGGGGTTGAGGAGTTGCAGGCTTAACTACAGGCCCAGGTAGGCCTCGGTGAGGATTGCTGTACGAGCAAAGGCTGGCTCGTGGAGCTGGGGGAGAGAGCAGACAGCAAGGGAGGGGAGTCCAGCAGGGCTGGGAGCACCAGGGAGGGAGTGAGTTCTCGGAGCGAGGACCCTGTGCACACAGGACCCCAGCCTGCTGAGTCAGACGGGCTGGTCAGTGGCTCAGTGCTTGTGACAGGCACCCTCCTCTCCACTGAGCAGGAGGTGAACTCGGGGGTTTGCTGATAGGTTGTCTGAAGATGGGGACTTGAGCCATGTGGGAGTGATGCCAGAGATTAAAAAGGCCAGTGCTTTGTTTAGATGCCCTGTGGTGACAGCCAACATTTCTTTACTTTTCTGCCATCCCTCCCAACCTTGTTGCTAGTTCCCTGTCACATTAGGAATTTAGACACTCCTCTGAAGTCATTAGGTGACTCAGGCTTTTGCTTTTTTTTTTTTTTTTAAGATTTATTTATTTGAAAGGCAGAGAGAGACAGACAGACTGACAGACTGACTGACTGACTGACTTCCAGCCACTGGTTCACTCCCCAATTGGCCACAATGGTTGGAACTGGGTGAATCTGAAACCAGGAGCTTCTTCTGGGTCTCCCACGTGGGTGCAGGGGCCCAAGCACTCGCACCATCTTCTACTGCTTTCCCAGGCCACAACAGAGAGCTGGGTCGGAAGTGGAGCAGCTGGGACTTGAACCGGCGCCCATATGGGATGCCGGCGCTGCAAGCGGAGGCTTTACCGGCTATGCCGCAGTGCCGACCCCCTTTGCTGGTTTTTAAATTGAGTTGGAAGAGTTCCTTATATATTCTGGATGATAGGCCCTTACATGATTTGTGATTTGTAAATACTTTATTCCATTCTGCGTGGTGTGTCTTTATTTTCTTGATTCTGTCCTTTGCTGCACAAAGTTTAATGCAGTCATATTTATCTATTTTTTCTCTGGTTGCTTGTGCTTTTAGTGCTGTATTTAAGAAATTATTAATTCCAGGTTACCAAGATTTACCCCTATGTTTTTTTCAGAGTCTTATAGTTTTATAGGTTTCTGACCCGTTTTGAGTTAATTTTTGTACATGGTGTGCCTAGGTATCCATATATATACAGTGGCATAGACAACTGCACATAGCTAGCCAGTTGTCCCAGTGCTGTTTGTTGAAAAGCCTGTTCTTTATCCCGTCAGCACCTTTGTCAGCCGCACTTAATTTTACCCCCTCACTGATAACTTAGTGATAATCACGACAGCTCGCACTGACTTAGTTTATCTGCTTGGCTCTCAGCCTGAATTGCTTTATCAGAAGAAACTTTTTTGGGGCCGATGCTGTGGCGCAGTGGGTAAAGCCACGGCCTGCAGCGCCCACATCCTTTATGAGCGCCAGCTCGAGTCCCAGCTGCTCCTCTTCTGATCCAGCTCTCTGCAGTGGTCTGGGAAAGCAGTAAAAAATGGCCCAAGTCCTTAGGTCCCTGCCCACATGGGAGACCTGGAAGAAGCGCCAGGCTCCTGGCTTTAGTTCAGCCCAGATCTGGCCATTGTGGCCTTTTAGGGAGTGAACCAGCATATGGAAGACCTCCCTCTTTCGCTCTCTGCCTCTGCCACTCCAACTTTCAAATAAACAAATCTTAAAGAAGAAGAAGAAACCTTATTGAGCCTGAAGAGTATGTACTAATTGTATTTTTAAACTCACAATATTGTTTGATTTGCATTATATAGGATAAGGATTCAATGTCATAATTTCTCAAGATGCAGTAAAAAGTGAATTAAGTTGAATTTGTTTAAGATTTATTTATTTATTTGAGAGGCAGAGTTATAGACAGAGAGAGGGAGAGAGACAAAGAGGTCTTCCAACCGCTGGTTCACTCCCCAAATGGCCGCAAAGGCCAGACCTAGGCCTATCCAAAGCCAGGAGTAAGGAGCTTTCTCCAGATCTCCTTGGCCATCTTCTGCTGCTTTTCCAGGCCCTTAGCAGAGAACTAGAAGAGGAACAGCCAGGACATGAACTGGTGCCTGTATGGGATGCCAGCACCATAGGGAGAGACTTAACCTACTGTGCCACAGTGCCCTCCCCCAAGTTGAAGTTTTTTAAAAATTTGTCTGTTTGAAAGGTGGAGTTACAGAGAGAGAAATCTTCATCCACTGGTTCACTCGCCAAATTGCCACAACAGCCAGGGCTGAGCTACTTCAAAGCCAGGAGCCTGGAACTCCATCCAGGTCTCCCATGTGTGTGGCAGGGGCTCAGGTAGTTGGGTTATCTTCTGCTGCTTTCTCAGGCTGATTAGCAGGGAGCTGGATCAGAAGTACAGCAAGTGGGATTTGAACCGGTCTCCAAATGGGATGCCGGCATCTCAGGCAGCGGCTTTACCCACCACACCATAACACCAGCCCCTAATTATATTTTCTTTCTTTTTTTAACTTTTATTTAATAAATATAACCTTCAAAAGTACAACTTTTGGATTATAGCAGCTTTTCCCCCCATAACTTCCCTCCCACCCGCAACCATCCCATCTTCCACTCCCTCTGCCATCCCATTCTTCATCAAGATTCATTTTCAGTTATCTTTATATATGGAAGATCAACTTAGTATATACTAAGTAAAGATTTCAACAGACTGCACCCACACAGATACACAAAGTATAAAGTACTGTTTGAGTACTAGTTTTACTGTTAATTCAAATAGTACAACACATTAAGGCAGAGATCCTATGTGGGGAGTAAGTGCACAGTGACTCCCGTTGTTGATTTAACAACTGACACTCTTATTTATGACGTCAGTAATCACCCGAGGCTCTTGTCATGAGCTGCCAAGGCTATGGAAGCCTCTTGAGTTTACAAACTCCACCTTATTTAGACAAGGCCATAGTCAAAGTGGAAGTTCTCTCCTCCCTTCAGAGAAAGGTACCTCCTCCTTTGATGGCCCATTCTTTCCGCTGGGCTCTCACTCACAACTGACTATATTGTCTAAACAGACTTCGGGAGCGGTGGTTTTCAGGTTAATTGTGTTGTAGACCTCGCGGGATGCTCGGTTGGACAGTTTCTCTGGCGCCCAGGTTGCCCCTGCCCTGTACTGTAGGGCACTGTGCTTCTCAGCGTGGGGAAAGGAGCGGAAGCTTCTCGCGGTGCCCAGTGGTCTCACTTCTCTCCTGTATTGTGGTAGGGGCAAAGCTAACTTCCAGGCAGACCCATGGTGACTGTCCGTCCTCAGTGACTGCTCAGTCAGCGGTTGGAACAGCAGCTGCACACACCTCCTGTTCATCCCCCATCCCACATTGCACCCTGGGGACCAGGCGGGGAGACCATGGCTGCCCACTGTAAAACGCTGCTTCTGTAGATACCTCTTAAAAATGTTCAGCCTGCAGGCATAGCATTCCAAAAAACTATTTTAAGAAATGATACGAAGGGCTAATATGTGGGAAGTAATCTTTTGAAAAATATACTGGGGCTGGTGCTACGACACAGCAGGTTAATTCTCTACCTGCAGCGTCAGTATCCTGTATGGGTGCTAGTTCTAGTCCCGTCTGCTCCTCCTGAACCAGCTCTCTGCTGTGGCCTGGGAAAGCAGTGGAGGATGGCCCAAGTGCTTGGGCCCTTGCTCTCACATGAGAGACATGGAAGAAGTTTCTGGCTCCTGGCTTCGGATTGGCTCAGCTCTGGCCATTGTGGCCATTTGGGGAGTGAGCCAGCAGATGGGAGACCTTTTTCTCTCTCTGTCTCTCACTGTCTGTAACTCTAACTCTCAAATAAATAAGTAACATTTTAAAATATATATGTATATATACCTTTTTTGAAACCATTTTATTTATTTTCATTTATTTGGGAGGCAGAGAGAGACAGCAGCAGACACAGATCTCCCATCTACCAGTTCACTCCACAGATGCTTGCAGTAGTGGAGCTGGGCCAGGCTGGAGCCAGAAGCCTGGCTCCATCCAAACTCCATCTGGATCTTCCACACTTGAGCCATCACGTGCTGTCTCCTAGTGTGTGTGTCAGCAAAAAGCTGCAATCATACGGGGGGCTGCAGGGCTTGGCAGGGTGGAGGTGTGGTGCAGCCAGGTAAACTGGCACTTTGTACTGGGGTGCTGGTTCAGGTGCTGACTACTTCACTTCTGATCCAGCGCCTTGCTAATGTACCTGCCACCCACATGGGAGACCAGTATGGGATTCCAAGCTCCTGGGTTCAGCCTGGCCTAGCCCCAGCTGTTGTAGCCATCTGGGGATTGAACCAGTGGATGAAAGATCTCTGTCTTTCTCTGTGTCTCGGTTCCTTTCAAATAGATGAATACATAAATCTTCTTGGTAAGTTTTTTTTGTTTTGTTTTGTTTTAAAGATTTATTTATTTATTTTGAAAGTCAGAGTTACACAGAAAGAGAAGGAGAGGCAGAGAGAGAGAGAGAAAGGTCTTCCATCCGCCAGTTCACTCCCTAGTTGGCTGCAATGGCTGGAGCTGCACCGATCCAAAGCGAGGAGCCAGGAGCTCCTTCCAGGTCTCCCATGCTGGTGCAGGGGTCCAAGGACTCAAGCCATCCTCTACTGCTTTCCCTGGCCATAGCAGAGAGCTGGATCGGAAGTGGAGCAGCCAGGACTTGAACCGGCGCCCATATGGGATGCCGGCACTGCAGGTGGTGGCTTTACCAGCTATGTCATTAACGCTGGACCCTGTTAAGTGTTTTTTGTTTATTTATTTGAAAGAGTTAGAAGTCTTCATCCACTGATTCACTTCTCATGGCTACAATGGCCAGGGTTAGGCCAGGCTGAAGCCAGGAGTTTCTTCCTGGTCTCCCACACGTGTGGCAGTGTCCTAAGAACTTGGATCATCTTCTGCTTTCCTGGGCACATTAGGGAGCTGGGCGGGCAGCGGAGCAGCTGGGGCTCAAACCAGCACTCCCTTGGGATGCTGTTGTTGCAGGGGGGAAGCTTAATTTGCTGTGCCACAACACAAGCCCCAAATGAATAAACCTTTGGAAAAAAAAAGAAAAAGAGGGGCTGGTGTTTTGATGCAGTGGCTTAGACTGCTGCTGGCGACACCGCATCCCATAGCAGAGCACTGGTTTGAGTCCCTGGTGCTCTTCTGCTAATCCACCTCCCTGCCAGTGTGCCTGGAAAGCAGCAGAAAATGGCCCAAGTACCTGGGCTCCTGTCACCTATAAGGAAGACCCAGATGGAGTTCCTGGCTCCTGGCTTCAGCCTAGCTCAGCCCTGGCTGTTGTGGCTATTTGAAGAGTGAACCAGTGGATGGATGATTGATCTCTCTCTCTCTCTCTCTCTCTCTTTCTCTCTCTTCAAATAAATAAATCTTGAACAAACAAACAAAAAAAAGGCAGGATTCAAACTCAGGCATCCCAAGTGACATCTTAAACTCAACATGAGCACCTGCCACAGTGTACCTTTATAAGTGGGACTTGGCCTGGTGAAGAATAGCACATGATGTTAACTGCCGGTCACTGTGACATCTCTCCCAGGACAGCCCTTGGGTGTCTTTCCTGGCCTGGGCTCCTTCACTGCAGAATTGCTGGGTTGCCTTTCCAGAGGCCCCATGGCTTCATGTCGACCATGACTGAGAGGCGGAAACCCTGGGCACGTGGCCCAGCACGTGCTGGCCAGGAGCTGCCGCCTGACTTGACGGCTGGCCGTTCAGTTTACAGTTTCTCAGCTGCACTGCTGTTTTTTTTTTTTATTATTATTATTATTTGAAAGAGTTAGAGGAGGAGAGGCAGAGAGAGAGGTCCTCTATCCACTGGTTCACTCCCCAGTTGGCCACAATGGCTGGAGCTGCGCCGATCCAAAAGCAGGAGCCAGTAGCTTCCTCCGGGTCTCTCACACAGGTGCAGGGGTCCAAGGACTTGGGCCATCTTCTACTGCTTTCCCAGGCCATAGCAGAGAGCTAGATTGGAAGTGAAGCAGCCGGGACTCAAACCGGCACCCATATGGGATGGTGGCACTGAATGCGGCAGCTTTACCCACTACACCACAGCGCCGGCCCCATGCACTACTGTTTTTTATCAACATACCTGCCCTCCTTTATCCTCACTCTGGAAATTTGTTGTAATAAGTGCAGCACTGCCCTGTTGCCCCCTCAGTATCTTTAGCCAGAGCCTCATAAACTCTGACGCACCACGGGGAGGTGGGAGGCGCACGTGGCTCTCACAGCCTCACTGGACCGTTGCAGTGACAGAGCGCCTCTCATTTTGCTTTCTTGTGTTCCTGCAGGGAACGACGACTCAGACATGGACATTCAGGAGGACGACGAGTCTGACAGTGAGGTGGAAGACAGGCGGCTGTCCAAGCCGCGGACGGCCATGGAGGTGCTCATGCAAGGTAGCATGGCTTCTTTCTCTGTTCTCCCTGTGCCCACAGCATGCTGTGGGTGACCGCAGCAGCAGTTCACGCTCTGGGCCTCCCGGGCCCTGTTGTTGATCAGGATTTGGCTCAGCGGTCATCTTGGCCGCTAATACGATGACCGGCGGTCCTGAGAAAGCGGCTGGGCATGGGCATTTCTCACCGAGGCCGGGGGAGCACACTGGCTGTGCCACTGGGTGCTGTGCTTCCCTTCTGGGGTCTGGACCTGCCCTCAGTGCAGTTCCATGTCCGCGGCCTGAGAGTTCACGCACAGGGAAGGGACTATCGCGAGCACTGCTGCCTTTTCAAAAATGTCCTTCTGGTTTCTTCTTTCTCGTTGCAAAAGATTCAAGTAACAAAATTATGGAGGGCATGTAGACGCTCCCCTAGGATCCTGCTCATGTCCCATTCCCACCCTAAAGGGTCATGCCAGTGGCCACGAGGTGTGTCTTTGCAGATTGCCTTCCACACAAGCACAGATACATGCATGGACATGCATGCACACACGCACACACACAAACGTAGGTACAAAGATGGCCTGAAAGCATTTTAAGCTACATGGGACCAAACAAGATATATTCCTTTTATTTTTAAAAATGAAATTTACTGGGGCTGGCGCTGTGGTGTAGTGGATAGAGCCACCGCCTGCATCGCTGGTATCCCGTAAAGGCTCTGGTTTGAGACCCGGCTGCTCCACTTCCAATCTAGCACCCTGCTAATACACCTGGGACTGCAGCAGAGGACTGCCCAAGTGCCGGGGCCCTGCACCCACATGGGAGACCCGGAAGGAGCTCTTGGCTCCTGTCTTTGGTGTGGCTCAGGCCTGGCTCTTCTGGCCATTTGGGGAGTGAACCAGCAGATGGAAGCTTGCTCTCTCTCTCTCTCTCTCTCTCTCTCTGTCTCTCTACCTCTGTCTCTGCCTTTCTGTAACTCTGCCTGTCAAACAAATAAAATCTTTTTAAAAATTAAATATATTGGACTCTTCCCGTGTCAGTAAAATACAGATCTGCTTTATTACATCATATTTCATAGCTTGATCAAGCCCATACTTCACCTGTGCATTCTCATATTGATATTTATTTCTTTTTCTTTGTATGTACTTATTTCTGCATATCTGCAAGTGTTTCCTTCTTTTTTAATATTTATTTATTTATTTATTCATTTGAAAGTTACACAGGAGGCCGGTGCTGTGGTGTAGTGTGTAAAGCTGCTGCCTGCAGTGCCGGCATCCCATATGGGCACCAGTTCGAGTCCCGACCACTCCACTTCTGATCCAGCTCCCTGCTCTGGCCTGGGAAAGCACTAGAAGATGGCCCAAGTGCTTGGGCCCCTGCACCGTGTGGGAGGCCCAGAAGAAGCTCCTGGCTCCTGGTTTCAGATCAGCCCAGGTCTGGCTATTGCAGCTATTTGGGGAGTAAACAGTGGATGGAAGACCTCTCTATCTTTCCCTTTCTCTCTCACTAACTCTGCCTCTCAAATAAATAAATAAATATTAAAAAAAAAATAACCCAGAGGTTTAGGGAAAAAAAAGTTAGAGGGAGAGATCTGCATCTGCTGGCTCACTCCTCAGATGGCCACAAAGGCTGGTGCTGGGCCAGGTCAGAGCCAGGAGCTCCACCCATGTCTCCCACATAGGTGATGGGGGCCCAAGAACTTGAGCCATGTTTTACTGCTTTTCCCAGGCCATTAAAAGGGAGCTGGATTGGAAGTGAAACCAGCACCTGTACGTGATGTCATTGTCGCAGGTGGCAGCTTTACCTGCTATGCCACAGTGCCAGCCTCTGCAAGTATTTCTTCAGGTTGCACCATTGAAAACTAAATTTTAGGTCAACGATTTTATAAATTTTTAATTTGGTAGATACTATTTGGTTGCCCTGTTTTGACCTTTAAAAATATTTTTTATCCACTGCCTGTTCATGTTTAGAACAGAGCTTTCTTTTATATGCCTAATAAATTTAAGGAGTAAAATCATCTTCATTTCATCATTTTTTATGAGTTAAGCTACCTAATCTGGAAAGCTCTGAAATAAAATTTTTTGAGCATCACGTCAGTACTCAGAACATTTTGAATTGAAGTTTACAGATTAGGCATGCTTAATTGTAAAGTCTGCAAATGTCCCAAAATCTGAAGAACTGTGCTAGGCCGGCGCCGCAGCTCAATAGGCTAATCCTCCGCCTTGCGGCGCTGGCACACGGGTTCTAGTCCCAGTCGGGGCGCTGGATTCTGTCCCGGTTGCCCCTCTTCCAGGCCAGCTCTCTGCTGTGGCCAGGGAGTGCAGTGGAGGATGGCCCAGGTGCTTGGGCCCTGCACCCCATGGGAGACCAGGAGAAGTACCTGGCTCCTGCCTTCGGATCAGCGCGGTGCGCTGGCTGCAGCGCGCCGGCCACGGCAGCCATTGGAGGGTGAACCAACAGCAAAGGAAGACCTTTCTCTCTGTCTCTCTCTCTCACTGTCCACTCTGCCTGTCCAAAAAAAAATAAAACAAAACAAAAAAAAAAAAGAATTGTGCTTGTGTTAAGTCTGCTCAGCTGTCTTCATTTATTTTGCTGCTTTTGATAGGATTGTTAGGTGTCCTGGATTCCTTTTGCTTTGTTTTAATTTTCTAACAGCTTCACAACATAGAGATGAACAAGTATGACTTTTTTTTTTTTTAATATTTATTTATTATTTATTTGAAAGAGTTACACAGAGAGAAGGAGAGGCAGAGAGAGAGAGGTCTTCCATCCACTGGTTCAATCCCCAATCGGCTACAATGGCCAGAGCTGCACCCATCTGAAGCCAGGAGCCTCTTCAGGTTCTCCCACGTGGGTGCAGGGGCCCAAGCACTTGGGCCATCCTCCACTGCTTTCTCAGAGAGCTGGATTGGAAGTGGAGCAGCTGGGACTCTAACCAGTGCCCATATGGGATGCTGGCACTGCAGACAGCGGCTTTACCCGCTATGCCACAGTGCTGGCCCCACAAGTATGACTCTTACATTGATGGGTAGGAGCCACAGATATAAGTTAAGTTGGCCCAACATAACTTGGTACCAGCACGGGTTCTCCTGCAGACCATTTAGGTTGCAGAATAAAACCGCATAGTCCATTTCTAAAACTGTAAGGGAGGGCTTCAGGTGACACATATTTGGTATTTTGTCTGACCAAGGAAAGTTTCGTAAATTGTGCTGAAGTGTCTGTCTCCAGGCCTGAGCCAGCTGCTTTCTGCGCGGCCCACGCTGCTTTCCTCAGCCTCATGGTGTGGGCGCAGCTCTGCCATCTCAGCCCTGCCCCTTCATAAAGGAAGCCCTAGAGACTGAGCAGAGGTCGTGTCTAAAGGAGTGACGGAGGAGCCCGTAGATACGCATGAGGTTTGGTTTGGAAAATAAACTAATTGTGATACATGTTTCTTTTAGTTTCTAAAGGTCAAACCAAGATCCATATATAAATCTGTAAACAAGGAATAAATTTTTTTTCAGTTTTTTTTTTCCCAGAAACCTTTTAATTAAGGAATACAAACTTCATACATTTTATAAATAAAACTTTGGGAACATGATCCTTCCCACCATATCTGCCCTCCCACCCACACTGCCACCCTTCTTTCTCCTCCCTCTCCTATTACCATTCTTAGTTTTTACTAAGATCTTTTTTTTTAAAGATTTATTTATTTATTTGAAAGAGTTTCAGAGAGGCAGAGAGAGAGAGAGAGAGAATCTGCTGGGTCACTCTCCAAATGGCCACAACAACCAGAGCTACTCTGATCCAAAGCTCAGAGCCAGGAGCCAAGAGGTTCTCCTGGGTCTCCCATGCAGGTGCAGGAGCCCAAAGACTTGGGCCGTCTTCTACTGCTTTCCCAGGCCATAGCAAAGAGCTAGATGGGAAGTGGAGCATCTGGGCCTTGAATCATTGCCCATATAGGTTGCTGGCACTGCCGGCCATGGCTTTACCCACTATGCCACAGTGCTGCCCCAAGATCTATTTTCAATTAACTTTATACGCGTACGATTAACTCCATACTAAGAAAAGAGTTCAGCAAATAGTATGGAAAAAAAAACTATTCGTCAACATTTGAGACAAGAGCTGTTCAAAGTCATTGCACCTCAAAGTGTCAATTTTACTTCTATAGATTACCTTTTAGGTGCTCTATTAGTTATCACAGATCTGGGAGAACATATGGTATTTGTCCTTTTGGGACTGGCTTATTTCACGAGTCTGATATTTTCCAGTTTCATCCATTTTGTTGCAAACAACAGGATTTCTTTTTTTTAACTGCTGTAATGTATTTTATGGCATACATAACCCATAATTTCTTTATCTGATCTTCAATTGATGGACATACACACTTTTTCACCAGATAGCATGCCAGTTGCAATGCTTAAAACTAATGATGGTGTTCAGTGATTTTCCCCCTAAAATATTTATAGGATGCATGTGTGTTTTCTTTTAGATTGATTGATTGATTGATTTGAAAGGCATAGCAATAGAGAGGCAGAGAGATATATTGCATCCACTGGTTTACTTCCCACATCATTGCAACAGCTAGAATTGAACCATGCTGAAGCCTGAAGCCAGAAGGCAGGCACTCCATCCTGGTCTCCCATATGGGTAGCAGGGACCCAAGGACTTGGGCCATCCTCAGCTGCCTTCCCAGGTGCCTTAGCGGGGAGCTGGTGGGAAGTTGAACCCAGAACTAGAACCAGCACTTCAGTATGTGATGTTGGCATCTCATGTGGCTTCCTGTCCCACTGGATGGGAACTACACTGGCCCAATGTTTAGTTTTTAATTTATGATCTGTGTTTATATTTTATTGCCCATTTTCTTAACAGTACAATTGGCAAAAATCCATGATTGTTGGTTGACAGTTCTGATTAGTTGGATGTACTTACATACTTTTTTGTGTATGATTCTTCCTTTTTCCCACTTTTCTAAGGGAAAACAAATATCAAATGCTATTTTTCCCCTTATTTTCCAAGATTTCTTGACTTCTTTTCATGCTTTTGTTGTCCTCAGGACGACCCAACAAACATGTCGTGGGCACGATGCAGGGCGGAGACTCCGATGATGAAGTGAGTCCTGGGCACCTTCCGTTGTCAGTTCCTGTCCTCAGGTCTCAGGCTGTCCGCGTAGATTCGATTCGCTGAGCTGGAGCAGCCAGGGAGCTGTCTGTTCTCAGCCCAGCCCATCACTTGACTGGGGCAGAGTTTGGCCTTCGAAGGAGCTGGGCTCCTCTCCTTGCTCATTGATGGCGCATTTCTGTCCACCTGAATGTGCTTGCCCTACTTTTTTTCGCCTTCTCACTGTTCTCTCCATTCTTGCTTTCCAAAGACGGAAGCAGCACCAGCTCTCTTAGGTAAATGCAAGACTTCCAGCTCCAAGAAGCAGGTTGGTTTTCGTTTTTGACTTGACTGTTTGTTGGTGTGTGTCAGCCCACTCAGAGCCCGCAGAGAGCCCCTCCAGGAGTGCTGCTGCCCTTCTCCTGGGCAGGACGCCATTCCAAACGGATGCACGGTGAGAGAGGCGTCACCTCCAGGGCACTGTGCGAGGACAAGGACAGACACTGAGCCAGGAGACAAGGAAGTTTGTGACTGGGGAGTCATCAGATCCTTGAAGCACGACCTAGCCATGAAGGGACAAAACTGGGGGGCCATGGCTCAAGGCCAGCCCTCTATTGCACCCCACTCTGGGTGAGGAACGTGGAAGTGGTGTGTCTGAGACCAGGGCCTCAGGGAGGTCAGGTGAAGGCTGGGCCTCAGGGTGCTGGTGCCGTGAGCTTTCCTGAGGAAGTCACTGCCGGGTCTTTGAGGCCATGCAGTTACCCTCGGCTTTGGTTTCCTGCAATCGCTGGCAGTGCCACTTGGCCTATGCAGCAAGGTGACTGCACTGACCCTTTCCAAACCAGCTCTGTCAAGTGGATGCCACAGGTGTGTGGGGGAGCACACACTGTTGTGATTTTGCAGCAGGGTTCACTCATTCTGTGCCCACAGAGTGACTGGCTGCAATCTCACCTGCTGCGTCCGGGCAGGGTGGGGAGAGTTGGTGGACTCTGGAGGGCAGGGTCGGTGTCCTCGGTGGGATGGGCACATAGTTACTTGCAGATCTCCTCTGTGCCACCCTGACACTCACTTCCAGGAGGCTGTGTCCACACGTCTTGGACACAGGGGCTCCCCCCTTTGTGGTTCTCCAGCCACTGAACGTGCACCCAAGTGCCTGTGGTGTGCCTGACACGTTAGGGGCTGTGGGGAGCGTAGCACAGGCCGAAACAAAGCCCAGCTTCCAGCATGCGCACACTCCAGCCGTAGCAAGGCAGCCAGGGCCAGGGCCTCCATGGTAGAATGAGAAGCAGAGCAGGTTCAAGGGGCCAGGAGAGACAGGAAGGAGATGGAGAGAAAGGCTCTCTGAAGTGGGGACACTGGAGCAGAGGCCTGAGAGGCTGTGTGCCACACAGGTAGGGGCACCTGGCTATTGTGGGCGCAGAGCCTGACTGGCGTGGACAGGGGGAGGGGATGCACAGGGCTTCACAGGATGCAGTGGGGCCCAAGTGTGACAGGAAGGCACTGGAGAATCCTGGGCCCCGGAGGGCCAGGAGGTGACTGGTGGGCAAGAGAAACCCAGGAGGTGGGGATGGCACTCGTGCAGGTCAGAAGTGACAGTGGCTCAGCCTCAGGTGGCGGCCATGGAGGCAGTGAGCAGGGCCAGAATCTGGGTGTTTCCAGGGTTAGAACTGTAAGGTTTTGTTGATAGATTGACTTGGTCGGCGGAAAGCACACAGGCTTGGTTTTCTGAGACAAGGCCACTTGAGGGGTCAGGGGCAAATCACGAGTTTGGTCTCGGACATCCTTGGTGCGAGTTGCCTGTGAGACGCCCACATGCCAGCATCTGTAGCCGTGGAAATTCAAGTCTGGGGAGGGTTGGAGATGGAATCTGGGGCCCGTGATAGTGAGGCTGTGTCAGGTGCGGCCCACAGGTTGAACATGATGAGGACAGAACTTCCCACTGAGTTGGGGTCCACTGAATGTGTGAGCCAGTCAGAGGAGTTTGGGAGCTGGTGGTGGGAGCCTGATTAGTGGGTACTTAAGAGACAGCAAGAGGGGAACAAGCAGAGCCAGTGAGGTCAGCAGCTCAGGAAGGAGTTGCGCTGGAACGGGGAGAGAGGGCAGAGTGGCCGGGCAAGGGGTGGGATGACGTGTCTGGGTATTTGTAAGAAGATCACAGCGCTCAGGAACGCGTGAGAATGCTGTGACGGGGAGCCCGCCTGCAGGTTTCCATGGAGCACAGAGCTTGCAGCTCTAGGCTGGGCCACATCGGTCACCCTGGACCTAGATGATGAGGGAGAGGCCTGCCCTTCATCTCACCCCTTACACCCGCTGCCTGTGTTGCTTTCCATCTTCCGTCCTTCCCTCCCTCAGCCTCTGCCTTCTTTGCTGCCCGAGGCAGCATCTCAGGGCCCCCAGGAGTCAGTAACCCTCAGAGCACGTCTGAGGTGCTCCTGAGATATCCCTGGGAAAGATGTCCCCTGCAGCTCTAGCTCGGGTCCCCTCTGGTGCATCACAAGCGAGGTGACACATTTCACGTGTGTATTCCAGCCGGTCTCACACCGACCTTGCTGTGTTCCTTGCCCACCACAGCCTGACTGCTCCTCTGCCAAGCTCTTCTCTCACACGGGGTGTTCCTAGTTGTGCTTTTATTCTTCAAGCTACTAGTAGAAAAGGAGAGGCAGGGTCTCTTAGACCATGGTAGGACGTCAGTGGCGAGATGGAACCACCTGTTGCATTTGCTGTCTTTTTCCTGTAGGATGACTCAGAGGACAGTGAGATTGACATGGACGACGATGAAGAAGATGACGAGGATTTGGAGGACGAGAGCATTGCTCTGTCACCAGCTAAGCCCAGCAGAAGGGTCCGGAAGCCTGAGCCCCTGGATGAGAGTGACAATGATTTCTGACCCTCTTGCCAAGGGACCCAAGCAGATGACAGACCTCAGATTTGTAGGTAAATGGACCATGAGAAGGTTAGGAAGGTGACCTATGACCGCTCCCCACGCCAGCCCGACTCGTTGATGCGAGGTGCTTGTTTCGCATTCGCCTCCTGTGTATAGATTCCGTGAAGCTTAATAAGAACTGGAGCAAACCCCAAAGATGACTTGCTTTTGCCTTCTTTATCTCCTGTAACCTGGGAGATCAAGTGTTCTTAGTGGTTCGCATCCACGGGAGAAAACTCGGGAGAAGGGAGAGCTGACAGCACGGGAGTCTCGGGACTTGACACAGGGACCCGGCGCAGGGTCGGGGACATTGGTTAGAACGCTTATTGCACACTGGCTTTTCATTCTAGCCCTTATTTCATTTTCTTATTTTCTTTCTGCTGCATGCTTACAGTCCCAAGCATTAAGTGCATTTCAGTAATTAAAGTTTTCTGAAGGGCTAGCTAAGTTAAGTGAAAAGCAGCTTCCCATTGAAAATGAGGCACAGAGAAAGGCTCCAAGGCTGACATTCCCTTGGGAGTCAGAGTCCCCAAGTGTGACAGCCCCTTCGTGTGTCCAAGGCCGCTACTAAGTGGCAGAACCCGGCTGAACCAGGGGCCCCCATTCCAGACTCCCGAGATACCAGCTGGCCCTCCGTCTGCCCACTGGGTTCCTCCACAGAACCTTGTCTCAAGTGTGGCAGGGTGCTGTCCCAAGGCTCACAACCAGCACACCTCCTTAGGGGAAGGCGCCAGCTCAGCAAAAAGTGTTAGTCCCGATTTGTGTTTCTGATTCTAAAATAAACCAGAGGACTTAGGGAGAGGCGCACAGGAAGAGTTTCCTTGTTGTGAAGAGATGTGATGGCAGTGAGTTGGTTTATTGTTTGTTTTAGTATGAAAAGCACAAAACTGCTCGTTTGCTTTACAGTTATGACGTCAGAAGACTTCTGAAGTTACTTATGTTTTAATGAATGTATTTAATGTCATTTTTACATTATTAAAGCTTTACTCGAAAGTATAATTATTTTATGTGCATTCATAACATACAAATATTCAAGAAAAGCTCACAGGTTAGTACAATGTAAACTTTAGGCAACTATGTGACATTTGTTTCCGTCCTATTTGGTTTTTTCTTTTTCCCTAAACTCTGTGTATGAAATCCCCCTTTGCTTTTGGCTCTCAGCCTTCAGTTAGTTCAGCAGTACGTTGAGAGGAGCCGTGTCATGACCCACAGGCTGGGGGAGGGGGGAACTGAAAAGTCACCGCGTTCCCCTGGGCTTGGTAGATTTGATTTACCTGAATCTGACTTGACTTAGATTTTGAAAAACTGTGCAAGTATCTCTTTCCCTTGGACGTTGCCTTTTGCTAATGGGCTTCGACTCCGGAGCTGAACCCAAGCTGCACGTTACATCCACAGGTGCCCACAGAGGCAGAAGCCACAGAGCGTGTCTCGTGGTCTCGTCTGCTTATAGATGATCCTTCATCTGTGGGCTAGCCCACTTGGTGGCTTGAGCAGTAGCTTGTCTGCAGGAGCTTCATACACTCGATTATCAGTTTTAACCCATGAGTGTTTCAGTCACTGTAACCAGTCCAGGAGTCAGGTTCATGCAGGTGCCTTAAGACCCAACACCATGTGGTTTCGGCCAAGAATCAGGGCAGAACATCGTGTGATGTGAGGTCAGTGAAAATCTAGCATTGTGGTCATTGCTGACAGTTTGGGATGTTTTTAAAATTAGTTTTATTTATTTGAGAGGTAAGAGACAGTACTTCCATCATTGGTTCACTACCCAAATGCCTGTAACAGCTGGGCTGAAGCCAGGAACCAGGAACTCAGTCCAGGTCTCTCACATACATGGGTTTGAGGAAACTAATTCCTTGAGCCATCACTGCTGTCTCCCAGGGTCTGTGTTATTGGAAAACTGGAATTAACAGGAGCTTGAGCCAGGAGTCAGACGTAGGTACCCTGGGGTGGGACACAGATGTCTTTGATTGCTAGATAAATGCCCACTCCCCTGGGTTTGTTGTTTGTTTGAAGTATATATATTTATTTGAAAGAGACAGAGAGATCTTCCATCCACTGGTTTACTCCTCAAATGGCTGCAGTGACCAGAGCTACGCGGGTCCAAAGCCAGGAGACAGGAGCTTTTTCCGGGTCTCCCACTTGGGTGTAGAGGCCTGAACACTTGAGCCATCTTCGTTGCTTTCCTAGATGCAATAGCAGATTGGCAGAGAGTGAATCAGAAGTGGAGCAGGTAGGATTCGAACCAGTGCCCATACGGGATGCTGGCATTACAGGCGATGGCTTTACTCACTACACTAGAACACTGGCTCCCTCCCCCAGGTTTTTTTTTAAATACATAATTAAAGAACCTCTTGAAACGATTTAGAATGTGTATATTGGGGTCATGCTGTGGCGCAGTGGGTTGAGCCAGCTCCTCCTCCTCTTCTGATCCTGCTCCCCCACGTTTATGTGCCTGGGAAAGCAGTGGACAATGGCTCAGGTACTTGGGTCCCTGCACCCACCTGGGAGACCCAGGTGGAGTTCGTCTGGGCTCCTATCTTCAGCCTGGACCAGCCCCAGCCCCTGGCCATTGTGGCCACTGGGCAGTGAGCTAGATGGAGGATCTCTCTATGTCTCTCTGACTTTTTTTTTTTTTTTTTAGTTTTGTTTATTATTTATTTGAGAGGTAAAGTTACAGACAGGGTGAGACAGAGAAGTCTTCCATCCGCTGGTTCACTTCTCAAATAACTACAACAGTCAGAGCTGTGCCAATCTGGAGCTAGGAGCCGGAAGCTTCTTCTGGGTCCCCCATGTGGGTGCAGGCGCCCAAGGACTTGGGCCGTCTTCCACTGCTTTCCCAGGCCATAGCAGAGAGCTGGATCAGGAAAGGAGCAGCCCGGACTAGAACTGGCGCCCATATGAGATGCCAGCACTGCAGGTATCCGGAGGATTAACCTACTGCACCGCAGCACCAGCCCTGTCACTCTGCCATTCAATAAATGAAAAATAATTTTTTTGTTTTTTGTTTTGTTTGGTTTTGACAGGCAGAGTGGACAGTGAGAGAGACAGACAGACAGAAAGGTCTTCCTTTTCCGTTCACTCCCCGCAATGGCCACTGTGGCTGGTGTGCTGTGGCCAGCGCGCTGCGCTGATCTGAAGCCAGGAGCCAGGTGCTTCTTCTGGTCTCCCATGCTGGTGCAGGGCCCAAGGACTTGGGCCATCCTCCACTGCACTCCTGGGCCACAGCAGAGAGCTGGACTGGTAAATGAAAAAATAATTTTTAAAAAATGTATATTGAGGCCAGCGCCGTGGCTCAATAGGCTAATCCTCTGCCTTGCGGCGCCGGCACACCGGGTTCTAGTCCGGTTGCCCCTCTTCCAGGCCAGCTCTCTGCTGTGGCCAGGGAGTGCAGTGGAGGATGGCCCAGGTGCTTGGGCCCTGCACCCCATGGGAGACCAGGAGAAGCACCTGGCTCCTGCCATCGGATCAGCGCGGTGCACCGGCCGCAGTGCGCTGGCCGTGGCGGCCATTGGAGGGTGAACCAACGGCAAAGGAAGACCTTTCTCTCTCTCACTGTCCACTCTACCTGTCAAAAAGTATATTGATAAAAAATACAAAGGAAAAATTTTCAAGTCCTCAATTTTTATTAGTGGTATCTATCAAGAGCAAAATCAAGAAAATCTGAAGACTGCTTCCCTTTTAGCTGGGGTGGAAGAAGAAATACAGGTGCTCTTCCATTGACATTTTAAACTAGCATCAGTGAGAGGAAGCTGTGTCCATTTGGTAAACAAAACACAGTGCAGATAGCACAGCTGTTGTGTGGACCCAGGGGACTCCAGGTGCCAGAATCCAGGACTCCCTGGGTTGGAAGGGAGCTGAAAGTCTACCTCCTCACCAGAGAGAAGTCCTTTCTGGGTGCATACGAATTCTCCTTTCTGCTGGGCTCTGATTGGGACAGTGTGGGCCGGCTGGGCTCTGGCACGTCCATGACCGCAGACAGAAGACTTGTCCAGTCGAGGCGCTTGAAGGCACGTGGTCATTGACGAGTGTAAAACAGCAGCAGAGAGGGAGTCCTCAGGACTGCTCAGTGAGATCACGTTCTGATTGAGACATTTAAGTAATTCAGAGGGACTGTGGCTTGTTTCCAAGAATGAATATGTGGAGCTGAGAAGAAGTGATTAGAAAGTAGGAGTTTTAGGAACTGCAGTCTCTCAGGACCTCGGTGAGGGGATCATTTTGCTACAGATGTGCTTCCTGGTGCTTACTTTTTCTGGTCAGCAATTATTGAGCCCTGCTGTATTTAGTAGCTACTGGAGAACTCAAAGATGAACTTTGGACTTGACCAGCTGACGGCCTAGAAAGAGGATTGGACATTATAGTACAGTGCTGTGAGGTGTCAGGGGAACTTGGTGTTAGGGGCAGCTCTGCGTGTCTGAAAGAGTTGAGGAAGATGTCTGTGAAAGTCACATTTGAGGGATCTGGTGGGCTTGAATGTGCTGAGTCTCAGAGCCACCAAAGGGCCCAGCCCCTGGTGGTGTCCTGGTGAGCCTGAGGGGCGGAGTAAGCAGTGAGTGGGTGACAAGGAACGCCTTTTTTGTGCTAAAGAGTTTGTTGGATTCTGACCTGTAGGCAGATAGCAGTCCCCAGAGATCAGAAACTTCAGAAGAATTGCTCTGGAAAAAACTGGGAGGGCAGATGGAAGAGGCGGCGGGGCGGGCCGGGAGCCGTCTGTGTGTAGCAGAAGAGCTCGTGGTGCTGGTGGAGAGAGCTGGATGCACGTGGGGAACGGGGTACCCGGGATTCTGTGGGAGGTGCACCGCAGAGGAGAAGGGAGTCTGCAGGAGGGGTCCAGTTCAGGTGTCTTCACAGGAGTTACAGGAGGAAGAGCCGACAGGGCGGGGTGGAGCGCGGCATGCTGACGGCATCCGGCAGACACCAGGGCGGCATTGCCTGGTGCTCACTTGGAGGTACTGAAAGGGACAGGCAGGGGAGGCGTCCTGTTTAACCTGGGGGATCGAATACATTGATTTATCTCTGCCTTCTCCTAAAATTCCACTAAAATGAGAGTGTGAGAAGAAATTCTCGGCAGGAAAATAGAGACAGAGCACGAAGCCACAGCCAGACAGGTTCATTCAGAATAAAGCCGGGTGGGGGGTCTCGCTCCCGGGTGAACGCTAGCAGAGCGAGCCCCTTCCCGCCGCTTTGTACGTGATAAACCCCTCTTGTCTGTAAGTCGAGTCTTGGGGGTCTGAGCTAAAGCTGGGCTGCCAAGACAGAGGGAGCGCTTGGGCTCGTTCCAGAGGTCCTGCGAGATCACAGTGTGAGCTGGAGGGGTTTGGGCTGAGGCTGAGGCTGGGGCTGGGGCAGGGGCTGGACTCGGGCTGAGCTGGAGGGAGAGAGCTTGGAGGAGTGGGGAGAGCTCGGGCTGAGGGCTGGACTTTTCACACAGTGGTGTGTCCAGCAGGCCAGGCGGGGCAGGCTGGTCAAGGCAGGGTGGGGCTGCATTAGCGCAGAGAAATCGGGGCCTGCTTGCTGTTGTGTAGGTCAGAGGTCAGCGTGGACCTAAGGCGTTTTGTCTTTGCTGCATCAATTCCAATGGGCTGGATAAACCCACAAGAGTAAGAAAAGCCAGTGTGGAGGCTGGAATGGATGAGATCGAGACGGGGAGGAGTTAGTGCTGAGGAGACCGAGACCCAGGGCTCCCCAGAGGACAGGAACTCTTCCTGCCCAGCCTGGAGAGACAATAGCCAGAAGCCAGGTGCTGTGGAGAGTAGGGGCAGGCTTGGGTTGAAGGCAGAGATGGCTGAAGGCGTGGGATGCCCCCCAGGCCCTCCATATCTTAGGCAGCCAGATAAATCTGGCTGGCTCTGAGGGACCTTACTAGAAATCCAAGGTTTAGTGGAAGCCCACTGTTTACCTGGGGAGGCTCCCCAGCTCCGTGCTGTTTGGCTCCAGGCGTGCCAGCAGGTGTGTGTACCACCTCAGGGGACTGGAGGGCAGAGGGGAGACCAGTACACACC